TCTTGTCATAACTGGATATTTCTCTCGTAATGAACTCCAGAATATGTCTATTCTCTCTTCTGTATTAACAATTTCTTTGTCTGTATTATACTGCCTTGCTTCCTTCTCATATTCATGAGTTTGCACATCTTTCAGAGCAAATGCCACTAATTGTGGTAGCTGGAGTAAGCGCTGGAGTGTGATTGTGTGGCCTCTACATGCTGGATCAATAGCTGAAGCACACCTCAGCAGTTTGTTGTTCACTGGCATCTTTCTCTGTAAGGTTTGACCACATTTCAGATATGCAGTCTTTAGCTTGTTCACTAGTTCACTTGCAGCAGGTCCCTGTAAATTCTCCTTGATGTACCTGACGAGGAACACCGCATTGTCAGGTAGTATGTTCTCCTCACTCACATTTACTTTATGCAAGGCTTGTGTGTTCAAGATTTCAGGTTTAATGAAACATACAAGAAAGTCCTTCAGTAAATCCTGCTGTTTGTCATTGAGTTTGTGGACAAGTGGTGTCACAGACTGAAAATACAGGACATACTTCTTGAGCATAGGAAGAATGGAGGTGTAAATGTGGAGAAGTACTTTGGTTTTACTCGGGGTATGGAACAGCTTCTTCACAATCCTCTTCTTACGGTCTTTTCCAGCCTGGGTCATTGTTTTTGTCTTATTTGACATTTTAGACTGATGTTTACAGATTTCCTTCTTTACTGATTCACTGATTGAATGTTTTTGATACATGCTATCAACAACTGGGAGATAAGTTGAACTGTCTGATCCAGACAAAAAGGGATAGTAAAAAAGTATCAGAGCATCTAGCAATCGAGATGTATCTACACAAACATCGTATACAGAAAGCCACCTATGGGGCACATATCGCTCTGGAATTGTTGCTTTGATGCCCAGTGCATCACAGATGAAACGCAAGACCTCTTTTTGGTCACTGGACCACTTGAAATCAGTATAGATGTCATTGAGAAGTCCCTCGATGTAGTTATCAAATCCATGGCAGAAGGCTTTTGCAGCATTATGTGCGTGGTGGCATGAGTCTCCATCTATGTCAAGCAACTGAGGAGCTTTCTTACTTCTAATGCGTGTTTCAAGTCCACTTTTTGAACCGCGCATGACGGCACAAGAGTCCATCAAAATAGAAACCAAGTTCTCCCATTTAAGGGAATACTTATCAAATAGAGCTACTAAATGATTGTACAGAGTCTCGCTGTTTACGGTCACTACTTTAAAAGATGACAGATGTTTTGTGACTACTTTGTTCTCCTTCTCTGAAAAATAACTGACTAGGACAGTTACAACGCGTTGATTTGTCTCACTTGTGCATTCATCAATATTCAGTGAGAAGTGAGAGGATTTCAAATCCTCAATGAGTTCTTCATGAAATGTTTTTGATAATCCATGGGTCATCTTATACGAAGCTGTAGTTCTGTCCATTGATAAATTTTCGAGCACTTGTTTATCTTTGGCAAGTTCTTGGTTAAGATGAATAAGATCATTCACGATTGAAAATGGCAGGGAATGTTCAGCTGTAAACGCAAGTATGGTTGCTTCTGCATATGCCTGTCTGTCGGGCAATGACACATTTGGCTCAGAGAGTCCACCTTTCAACTGTTGTTCATGCTTATCCAATTGTTTTTTGAACATGGGGTGAATTCCATATGTTGATGTAGTAGTCATTGGTTGTTTTTGACCTACAAGACAAACAAAAAAAAAATATATAAATAAATGAATAAATACAAAAAAGGCAAACTCATGAACAAGGTTACATTCATATACATGCACCTGCCCAAGTATCACTGTACTCACCCCAAATTCTTTGAAAATAAGTATGTTCTGTACGAAATAATGCATGACAATATATGCCAACATTTATATGTAGAAATGAACAAATCAAATTCCTGCCCACACACACACACACACACCCATCACATGAAAATTTGGGCAGCATAACACCCCCCTAGGCACTGGCCAGCAAAATCACTGATGCCATTCAAATGACATGATTTGACACATGTAACTTGAATGTACCAGTCTTATTAATAAAACTTTCCAGTATAATTATAAAAATGCATAGGCCTACAGCACAAACAAACAACAACAAAAAACACACACACACACAAGAAAACAATTTGATCAGTTAAAGGATTTTGAGGGGTCCGCGATTCTAATTTCTAAAATACAATTGTAAACTCACCTGGAAGTAAAGTATTTGCTGCTCTCAGTTTCAAAACTTTTTGGTGTGCAACAGAGTCCAAATGATCAGTCAATGAAACTCGTCCACGAGAACCATATTTGCACTCCTTATCACACACTACGCACACGGCGTAGCCAGCTTTTTTTACAAGACGGAAAGAGTGAGAAAGTTTTTGATCTTTGTGCGTGAAGTCCATCCAAGACCATTTCCATGGATTTTTAACCAGTGGATCCCGCTTATCTTCCTCCAATGATTCCGAGTCCAATTTCGTTCCTCGCTCAATAAAATTCCGATCTCGAGTTGCCATGTTGTCTCATATTTCACAGATTTTCTTTGAAAGTAATACATATTTCCAAAAGAGAACGCCGATTCTGATTGAAATATCGTAACAAAAATCAATAGCACACTGCACGAAGACATGTGAATCAATGCAAACACCGTACCGTAGATAGTATAGCGATCGAAATGCACGGTACGCCCGGCGCACGCGGCGCGCTGAGCTAGCAATACTCGATGCAGGCGCTGTACTATCTTTGAAGCAGGCGCGCGCGCGCGCTTTTGCTTTTGTATTAGTCTCGCATTCGCAGACCCTTAAAGTAATAAGTTGTCTTGGGGCAAAACGCGGATTTTTTCAATGGAGAAAATAAAAACGCGACGGGGCGATCTAAAAACGCGGAAATTCGCGGAAACGCGGAACTCTCACATCCCTGCTAGATTTTGATGCCCAAGTGCCCAGATGTCCTGGGCGCCAGTCAGTGACAAGCCCTAATGTAGACCTGGGCCCCGTCCTACAAAGAGTTATGATTGATCCAAATCAATCGCAAGTCTTTGAAATTGAATCAATCGCAAGTTTGCAGTCTCCTCCTATCTCTTACATGTCATGTAGTTGCAATTGATATCAATCGCAAATAAGTTGTGATTGATATCAACTCTTTGTAAGACAGGGCCCTTAGCCCCTTATCTCCATAATGTACTAGTAGCACACGCCATACAGTGTAGGTCTACAATAATACAAGCATTTCGACAGCATCTACATGTACGTATTAGTACTAAATAATTATCTGAAAAGACTGCACTCCCTAATCTCTACATGTACATGTACAGAAGCTTTGGGGATTTCCCAGTTTCATTGCGGATAGAGTTCATTACTATACTGTATATTAGTTTTTACTTCTTCTTCTTCTTCTCTGCCGGGCGTTGGTTGTATTCTTGTACTGGCTATCCATGTAGGATATACATGTACATGTATGTGGCCCTATACAGTTTACCTGCGTAAAGATTTGTATAAAACTTTGCAAAGTACATGTACAATGTACATGTAGTTTATAATTTACTTTTTCAACCAGTTGGTAGTGATCTACATGTACCTCTTATCATTACGTTAATGCCTATTCAAGCTTTCTAATGAGTTTGAGGTACTGGTATGTACACGTGTTATTGTTATCATTGTATAACCTACATGCTGCACTTATACATGTACCTTGAAGGATCCGGGCTAACTCGGACCAGGGGACAACTCGGCCCAGCTGCAAAAACGGTCATTTTTTGTCATTTTACCCTAATTCTAACCCTCACTCTAACCCTAACTCTAACCCTAATCCTAACCCTAATCCTAACCCTAACCCTAAACCTAACCCTAAACCTAACCCTAAACCTAAACATGCAAAAAATGACCGTTTTTACAGCTGGGCCGAGTTCCATACCAAAGCTTCTGGAAGAAAGCCGTCTCCAGCTACATGTATGACAATGCATACAATCTTGTAATTACATACTGTATATATATATAGTGGGAAAAGTGTGCCTTTAACTTTCTTTTAAATAACAAAATAATACTGTTTCTGAGAATTTTACAAGTCTATTGTCATTTATAGCGCTACAGAAATTAGATCTACACTGTACGGTAGGCCCTACTGTGAATTTCCATATCATTATTTCTTTTACATTACGAAGCATATGAACATGTAAGCTTATTAAAATAAATTTGAATATTTATTCTTCTTCACTATAATTACATGCCACCAGGGAATCGATTTGACAGTTTTCATTAAGATTTTTTAAACAAATTTTCTGGAATATCCTTTTCTGTCCTTTTATGACGATAAAAAATCCAACATTGAACGTCCTCTTCTTACATGTAGATGTAACCTTCATCAGTTTTTAAGAAGAAAAAAGTAGCATCCCATTAAATATACAAGGAAAGTGATAGTAAAATAAGAGAAGAAATTTCCCACATAATTCAAGATAGAATATCATGACATGACACTTCATAAACATTGTGACTGAGCAAAAAATATGAAACAAATTAAAAACCTATATAAAAGGAAGTGATGTATAGTATGTTGATATAAGGCAATCACTAATTAGGTCTCCTTTCCTTTAAATTTGTCTTAGTTTAGCCATATTACTATTAGCATTGCCCTACACGAAAAGGGTTGTAACACTGCCCATTACATTGAAATACAATGTGATCTGAATTACTGTATTTCGTTTCCGGGTTCTATGTATTGCCATTGCATTGCGTACAGATATCACTACACACATACACACACACAGATTCACAATGCACAATCCTATACGCGCGTACACAATGCCTATGCCTAGCCTGCAGCAGAACTAGAGAGAGATAAACAATGGTATTGAATTCAGACAGCGAGTTTCACCTGACACTTGCTACTGTTCAAAACAGTTGTCAGTTAATTCAAGATTTCTTCAAAATGGATGAATAAAACTAGGTATATTTTTAAGGAAACATATTTCAAATGCACATGAATGTAATGATATTAATAAAATGATAAATTATGAATACCTTGAACCAAAATTTTTCTTCCAAAATTGAGCAGCATCTGCCTTCGTGATGCGGTAGGATTCACCGGCAAAAAGTCCATTTGGGAAGAGAGCCTTCAACTCGGCTAAATTGTGACTAAAAATCAGAGACATTCGGTTAAGTTGCCTTCTACATGTAGAACTCTCATCGTACATTTTCTCCTTATTGTCTTTGAACAGTTGTATTGTCTGTTTAGCCTTTTTGTTGATGTTGTCAACAAAGATTTTGAAGTACTCATTTTCGACAAGGTCGGGCAATTTGTCATCTCCTTCATATTTAGACCAAACTAGTCTGAGATGATGATACGTCTCCGGCAGAATATCCAGAATGAATGGAGGGCTGTTCTTCAGTTTCATTTTGTCGGACTGGCATAATCTCATGACTTTCTCCATGAGTTTCCATGTTCTTTCCAGAGTTTTCTTGTCGACCTTCAAAGCTGGGCGAGGCGGCACCCAAAACTTCATCCATAGTTCACCCAGTCTCCCCGCCGCCATGATCGCACGCACGTTCGGGTAACCTACCCACGGTTTACACGCAAATGAAGACTCCCCTCACCACCTTTCGCGGAAGAGAAAACACATTTCTGCCCAAAACCCGTCCAGGAAAGAGCGGCAATATTGGCGGCGTTTTCGACGTTTAAACAGGGCGATTTGAAAAGAATGTTGTGGTACACGATAGCTGGTGATGATATATGTCCGAATCATTCAGTGCCATTACATGCGAAAAAATATATCCAAAATTAATGACCATTTTATGTCAAGCTTCAAATAATGTCATTCGTGCATACACCGCTTGCCCGTGTTCGTTCGACTTTGCGCAGTCTTACAGTGTGCGAACGCCCCCGGTGTACTTCCGGTGTGAAGACCCTCAACGTCATCGGGTAAAATGGCAGCCTTGGAGAGCGACGATACAAGCTGGTAAGCCAGAAGGAAGGGTTTTAAAAATATCATGCTTATTTATTTTACGATTTCATGTCTCTAACCGTAATTCTTAATGTAACCCTAACTCTGGTTTGAATTTGGTTGTGAATGTAGCCTGTTTTAAGCGTGAATTCGGAGTTTGAATGTGCGTGTAGAATGAATGGGAAGTGGATTGTGTACGGGCGAGTGATTTTCACTTATGAGAATTGCATGCAACGCAATGCAATGCAATGGTGATAGAAAATGGGAGGGGACCGAATGCCGATACAGGCTGTATGCAAGCAAGGCATTTTAATTGAGTGCTCTTTGCATGCATGCAGTGCTGTAAAAAATTAATTGAAATGTTATATAATAATATGTCACCATTTTTGTTTTTGTTGCTATCTACTCATTAAATAAACTGGCCATTATAAAATTTTAAAAGCTTTTCACTGAACTTGAAGTTGAATTGAGCCTTTGAAGTTTGAGTTTGACTTTGAGGGAGTATTTATTTGAAGCTCAAACATTAATTAAAGACATTCAATTCATTTAATAATTAATTAACTGAACTCTTCCTCAGACCAGGCTCAGCTCAGTGCAGTTCCTGTTTTCTTTTCTTGTTGAACTAGATCTAGGGCTTATTTATTCAGATATGGCAATCCAATTATGAAAAAGTCCAAATTTATAAGTGAAACTCACAATTTATGTATTAAACTTATTCATGTTTCTTATCTGTTCCGCAATTAATTTAGCTCTATGAATGATTGTAATACACTCTGTCTAATTCTAAATGAGTTGCTACTAGCTTAGACCGAAAGCTTCAGTCTCTATAATCGTCGATTGTTCCACTGAGACTACGTCTGGCTCCACTAGACCTCCGGTTATAGAGACTGAACGACTGCCTATGCCAGCCTGTGTTGAACTTATTCCGCTAGATTTTAGCCGCTAGGCCCCTCCCACAAACTTGCCACGGCCGTATTGTTATGCCCCCAAAATCCCCCAAAATGTCATTTTACCTCGTTCATTTCCAATTTTAAATTAGGCCTAGGCTATAATACATCGGTTCCACTTACTAACTTGATTGATATAATCCGTTTAATGGTCCTGTAGCGGCTCTTACATTCGCCCTACTTACATTCGCCCTACTTTCATCGTACATATCATGTCTCCAGTATTTTTCCATCACGGTACTTATTTATATTCATTATTCGGACCACGTGTGTTCATTTCCTCCAATCGCGCATCGTGGTTCCGCACTGTTCACCCCGCGTATTTTCAACTCCACGAGGTTTTTCTCCACTCCCGCTTTCACCTTGGTCGAGTCAAGACGTCTCCGCAATTTCCTCTCCAGGCTTTATTCTTCTGTGCCTGTCGTTTCTTCTACGGCACGTCTACTCTTTCCCTGCCGTGTTCATCGGGCTGCAGTCTCCCAGTGGAACGTTATAGTCAGCACCGACATGGCGCCTGACTCTCCGCTGGGAGCTGCTAGTGTCTTCGTTCCGGTAGCTCTTTCCACTCACGAGCTCATCATTTCACCGCAGCTCATCTAAACATTTCTTCATCAAAGTCCGGCGCATCAAACGAGCAACTATTACTACTCAGCACCAGTGCCGGCTTTGCATGTCTACGTTTCTACTCTTTGCCTCCGACATCAAGCGATTCACTGCTTCGTCGTCGAGCGCCACATCTCTTCTCTTCTCTTCTCGCCTGAGAGCTTCAACCACATCTTTATCACGAGCGTCAGCGTCGAGATCCTTCACCGCTCTTCAGCCACGAATACGAAGCTGCATCTCCGCCTTCAAGCCTCCGCACATCATCGCGTGAGCCCCTTCCTTCGTTCTTCTCAACTCTCTTCATCTTCATTGGACTTTCGACGCCATTTCTATTCTGTCGTAAGCTCTATTCATTCAATGTCATTATGTACATCGCATTTATTCATGTTCATTCTCATCCTTAATCATTATGTAATCTTCGTGCAATATTCACATTTTCAAGTCTGCTATATTTGCTTGACTGCACTTTGCAAGTGCATTGTCAGCTTTGTTCAGTACCCAATAAATTAACGAAAAGGGAATACTTTCTTTCATGTATTTTATTGTCAGTGCAACCTTGCTTCCTCGTAGCTAAAATAAAAATAAGAGTTATGTTGTGTGACGAGTGAACACGCTTTCAAATATCCATTCACAATACCTCACACTCATATCTCTAAAGTGGTGACCCCTCGTTTACTTTGAAGCTTGGTTGTACGAATTTATTATTCCCAGACTTTTCGGACTTGGCAATGTTTTATAAAATGTATTCATTCTGGATTATGTATTGAATGTTTTTTATGCTCTTGCATTTATACACGTTTATTCGATGCATACCATGTCAATACTCACTGTTCAATTTTTGGCAACTAAACAGCCGTTCGCATACCATGCTTGTTGTATTACATTCTTTCAACATGACATGCTTGTACATTTCCTAGGCTGTTGTAAATTACTGCATACACTATACAATACATGCACTTTTACATTTTTATCAGCCATTGATTCTTGTGACATTTTGTACTTTGCTCATGTATATCTTTTTCGCCTCTCATCTGTGTATTGCATACACAGCTTCAATTCTGGCAGGGGAGTAATGTAGCGGCTCTTACATTCGCCCTACTTACATTCGCCCTACTTTCATCGTACATATCATGTCTCCAGTATTTTTCCATCACGGTACTTATTTATATTCATTATTCGGACCACGTGTGTTCATTTCCTCCAATCGCGCATCGTGGTTCCGCACTGTTCACCCCGCGTATTTTCAACTCCACGAGGTTTTTCTCCACTCCCGCTTTCACCTTGGTCGAGTCAAGACGTCTCCGCAATTTCCTCTCCAGGCTTTATTCTTCTGTGCCTGTCGTTTCTTCTACGGCACGTCTACTCTTTCCCTGCCGTGTTCATCGGGCTGCAGTCTCCCAGTGGAACGTTATAGTCAGCACCGACATGGCGCCTGACTCTCCGCTGGGAGCTGCTAGTGTCTTCGTTCCGGTAGCTCTTTCCACTCACGAGCTCATCATTTCACCGCAGCTCATCTAAACATTTCTTCATCAAAGTCCGGCGCATCAAACGAGCAACTATTACTACTCAGCACCAGTGCCGGCTTTGCATGTCTACGTTTCTACTCTTTGCCTCCGACATCAAGCGATTCACTGCTTCGTCGTCGAGCGCCACATCTCTTCTCTTCTCTTCTCGCCTGAGAGCTTCAACCACATCTTTATCACGAGCGTCAGCGTCGAGATCCTTCACCGCTCTTCAGCCACGAATACGAAGCTGCATCTCCGCCTTCAAGCCTCCGCACATCATCGCGTGAGCCCCTTCCTTCGTTCTTCTCAACTCTCTTCATCTTCATTGGACTTTCGACGCCATTTCTATTCTGTCGTAAGCTCTATTCATTCAATGTCATTATGTACATCGCATTTATTCATGTTCATTCTCATCCTTAATCATTATGTAATCTTCGTGCAATATTCACATTTTCAAGTCTGCTATATTTGCTTGACTGCACTTTGCAAGTGCATTGTCAGCTTTGTTCAGTACCCAATAAATTAACGAAAAGGGAATACTTTCTTTCATGTATTTTATTGTCAGTGCAACCTTGCTTCCTCGTAGCTAAAATAAAAATAAGAGTTATGTTGTGTGACGAGTGAACACGCTTTCAAATATCCATTCACAATACCTCACACTCATATCTCTAAAGTCCCTTTTAAGGAAATTATCGGTCAAAATCGACATCCATGTTGAAAATCTTGCAAGCCGTGTTAAACTCTCGCTGCCGTCAATCTCATCCCTTGTAGTCTACGCCGAAGGCAAAATGATTATGAAGGAAAAACTGTGATAACGCCATTACGAACGTGTAGATGGCGCACAGTTTTTCCTTCATAATCATTTTGCCTTCGGCGTAGACTAGAAGGGATGAGATTGACGGCAGCGAGAGTTTAACACGGCTTGCAAGATTTTCAACATGGATGTCGATTTTGACCGATAATTTCCTTAAAAGGGACCATTAAACGGATTATATCAATCAAGTTAGTAAGTGGAACCGATGTATTATAGCCTAGGCCTAATTTAAAATTGGAAATGAACGAGGTAAAATGACATTTTGGGGGATTTTGGGGGCATAACAATACGGCCGTGGCAAGTTTGTGGGAGGGGCCTAGCGGCTAAAATCTAGCGGAATAAGTTCAACACAGGCTGGCATAGGCAGTCGTTCTGTCTCTATAACCGGAGGTCTAGTGGAGCCAGACGTAGTCTCAGTGGAACAACCGACGATTATAGAGACTGAAGCTTTCGGTCTACTACTAGCTATGCCTGATAAGCCTGCGGCAAGCTTTTATTAGGTTGTCAAGAGCAATATAAGCCTGATAATGAATAAGAATTATGATCAATAAGTGAGTCTGTTACTTAAAGTAAGTTAACTTAAAGTTGAGTTCAACATGTTCATGTGATTGCATTGTGAAAGAAATGGTGTGAAAAAGTTGATCATGTAGCAATAAGCATGAAGTATTGATGTGTACTGCAAGGTACTGGAATCATCAAAATGATATAAATTTTGGCTGAGTTTTGATAATAGTAACAAGTACTGTATACAGAAAGATATGGAACTATGCAAACATGTGACACAGAAAGATATGGGACTATGCAAACATGTGGCATAAAAAAGTGATCCTCATTTTTAAGCTGTTACATCACTTACAGTGTATGTCATATTTAGAATATGAAGTCATTTGAAGAGCCATGCTTTTCAGGGAACATTTTTGCTCTGATGTTCTTCCACACTTCCATCATAACAATAAAAACGGTCACAATTTATTTGTCACTTCTCCCGAGAACTCAACTTTATCTTTAAGAATGCATTGATCAGTTATTTGCTCATTATTAACATTTGTTGTCGTTGATATGTCAGGCATGCTGAATTGGAAGAAGCTTTGGTAGAGAGCTGTGACTTTGGAACCCTGAGAAACATCTGCAAAGGAAGACAAATACCAAACATCTACCGAGCATCAGCCTGGAAGGTTCGTCTCTTTCCTCTTACTTAGTGGAGTAGCCAGGGGTACATGCACACCCCCCCCCCCCTTCCATCATATGGCTGGGAGAAAGAGAGAGAGATGGAGAGGGAGAGAGAGAGTGAGAGAGAGAGAGAGAAAAAGAGAGAGAGAGAAGGATAGAGAGAGGGGGATGACAACGTGATATTAGGAAATTTTAGATTTACACGACGAGAACGTGGACCGCCACGTGTGACAACCTTTTAAGGTAATGTGACGTCCTTTTAAGGCACTGCCGGGCACGGCCCAGTGCCTTAACACAATGTCACACGCGGCAGTCCACACTCTCGTCGTGTAAATCTAATAGTCCCTATTAAGAATGCAATACGACTTGGTACTTCCATTACCCTCCCTCCCCTTTCTGACCTTTAACCTCTTTCACTTTGTTCACCTAGGCTAGTGGGAACGATAACCCCCTCCCCCTCCCAGTCTCCCCTCAATGACTAAATCAATGCTTTGCTAGTGCTCTTCCGTTTGAGGAATGATTATGATTGAATGGGGTGGGGGGGGGGAATAAATAAGCAATGGGCAGGACTTTAGGTTGCCGATCAGGGGAAGTTTTATCAAAATAAGATTGATTTAAAAGCTTGTTGAAAATCTTTAGGTTGAAAATCTTTAGGTAGAACTGGTTCGATTTTGAAGCAATTATGCATGATTAAGATGTACTTCATTTACAAACTACATGTATGAAGTAGGGGATGTCCACATCTTTGCACCACTCCTATTGTTCTGTTACATGTTTACAACTCACGATGGCGGTCTCCTGCATTCTAAATTACCTCTCTAATTTATTGAAAAATATTTACTGTATATATTTCTTATCTTATTTTTATGCTTCGTACATGTTTATTGTATGATGTAATTGTACATGATTTTCTGTTTAATTACTTTTATAAACATTTTATTCATTGTTTGTATTTGTTATTGTTCGAATGTTTGTACTTGAATTTAAATTTGTATCTTTTTGAACACAGGAATGAAATTAATCAAACAAACAACTCAATTTTTATTTTATTTTGACAGATTTGTCTCAATGTTGCTGGGAAAGCGAACGCCCTGACATCGTTTGATGGAATCTTTGATCTTCCTGAACAAGATATCTTGAGAAAAGACTGCAGAGAATTTATTGGTGAGCCTCTGCCACAATACACCAGTTTACGGCTGTATCAGTGCGCATGCGCAGACAGTTGACCTCGGGTCATTGGCCCTGAAACAAAGCCAATGAGCTGAGGTCAGTGGTATTTATGCGTAAATTAAGATTGCGCCCATGCAAATGATGATGTGCGCGCACAATGCAGCGCGTAGGCAGTGATATCATCATAATTTGCATGGGTGCAATCTCAATTAAGGCATAAATACATGACCTCTAGGTCATTGGCTTTGTTTAAAATGGCGCACACAATCGTAAACTGGTGTATTGCAGTAGTTTATTCTTTGTTTTAGTTTTCTTTTGTTTTGTTACAGCTATAAGTATAAAGAGTGAGCTCTTGAATAGTTGTGTGTTATTTACGGCTTTTATTTTGTCCCGAGATATAGCAATAGGTTGGATTTCAGTTTTAGTTTTATGTTATGTTTAAGGTTACACATCGATATAAACCTTTTTTTAACAGGGTTAAGGTCAGGGCTAGCTATAATTCTACATGTAGGTCTACAGCTGTAGGTTACAGATTTGATTATCGTTTGAAGTTTTCCGATGAGCATTTATCTCCAAAATTTGTGTTGGAGAAGCCTCTTCCATCTTGCCTTTAAAGGTAAAGACCAGTATTGGAAACACCCCAATTTCAAAAAATGAAATGGAAGCTCATATTACCAAGCATGTGAAAGAATATGTTTTGACTAATACATGATGATAAAAAATTTGCAGGGAAACCGCCTACTAATTGATATATTTGGTAAATTAGTTTATCTATTGGTTTGTGAGAGATAAACGCACGTGTCGTGCACGTGTGCGTAGTCCCATATACATCTTTCTGTGTGCAGTGCTTTGACTTTACGAAGACTGGGCAGAATTTCTTATCATTTTGATGATTCCAGAACCTTGCAGTACACACCAATACTTATCTGCTATATGATCAACATTTTTCTGATCGATTCCACAGCATTTCTTTCACAATGCAATCGCATGACCAGAATTTGACTTTATCTTTAAGAAACCGATACATGAAGACCACCTTCCTATGAAGACCACTTTTCTCGTCTCCCTTTTATCCTTGTTTAGATAAGCTTGATAACTCAGAGGAGGAGAAGCTATCACTAGTCAGTGACCTTGAGTCTGTATTGACCTTCTACTGCAAGTCAAAGAATCTTAAGTATGAAGTGGGCAACGGATGGTTGGACATTCTCGGACCCTTGGTGGCGCTGCACATGGACAAGGCTCTTCTATACAACTGCTTCTATGCCATCATGACAAAATACGTTCCAAGGTAAGGTCGTATTTTGATTTATATTTTGGTAATCATAAAGTATTTGCAATATTTTCCTTTTATAATGAATTTGATTTCTCCCAGGCCACCAACTTATTTAAATCTTTCCTCTGCTTCTTCATTTTCATTTATGTTACTCCCACTTGTTCTTCTACTCTTAGTTCTGTAGCTCTCTCATTGATGGTAATATCAATATACTAGTAATTTCTTACACCTTTTAAGGTGTTTTTTTACCTCTTCTCTATCTCCTTCTCCCCCCTTTTTCACCTTTCTCTCTCCTCTATGTTTGTATCTCTCTTTCTCCATCTCTCCTTCTTTCCATCTTTCACTCTTTCTCTTTCTTCTGTATATTTCTCAAGCTTTCCTCTCATCTATATTTTTTTTTCTTGCACTCCTCTCTCTCTCTCTCATCTCTCTCCCTTGCTTCTTCTCTCTTGTATCTGTCTCTCATAATCACAAATCTTCATTCAATATACAAAAATCAAGATTAAAATCATGTATAAATTGATTATCATCAATGTATACATGTTGAGGCATGATACTGCCTGAGAATACAGTGCAAGAGAAGACAGAATACACTGACACATGCAATGTATTCTCTTCAAGTTGAGAACGGCAGTTGAGATCAATCTATGAGTGAAAATGCTGATAGAACAATACAGGGCAGAATACACACAGAGTTACATTGATTCTCCCTACATGGACGACTAGACTGCAATTGAGATGTCTATGTGTGATTCTCAATCTAGAGGTTAATGTATGAGTCATCAACCACATGCATCTGTTGAGAGGTCTTGCCCTTCAGTGTAAGCCACAGCATGCAGCTACTGTACATATGTGATGTTCCGTGTGATCATTATTCAGGCTAGGAATTGTTAAGGGTTTGATTGATAACCTAAACTTTAAATTGGCAACACTGTTATTTAGTTATTTGTATGATTATTCTTTGCAATAATATAACAAAAGATTGTGTATTTGTTTCATAATAAAAAGTCATGTACACTGTACCCTGACTCTCTCCTACAAACTGTAGTACTACTCATGTGATGTTTCGGGCGATCATTATTCAGAATGGCAGGTTATTAGATGTACATGTATGTGCAAAATTAATCAGCTTCTTTTTTTTTTTAATAGCAATACTTATCTTCTTTATATTGATTGCTACATTTTTTTTTGTTATTGTTGCTGGTGTTGTTATAAAGTCATGAGCCTGATAGAAATTAGAGAGAAATTGTATAAGATGCCAACCTATATATGAAAAAAGGTGATTTTACCCCCAAAAATGTTGACCTGTTGCCAATTTTAATGACTTGGAGACTTATTTTTCTTTGAAGAATTCAAGGTGTCAACTGTTAAATGATGACTAATCTAAAACCTGACTGCATGCCCAACCCTAACCCTCTTCCTGATTAAATAAAGCCCAGAGCACAAGTTTTAAAAGCAAATGCCATATCACTCTGCGATTTCCTCGAAATAAGATAAATCTTTTCCATTCCCCTCTTACCTAACCTAAACCACAAACCTACCCCAGCCTTAACCATACATCTTTTGACAAAATAAAGCTTGGAACACATGTTACAGGAGCAAAGCTAGCTTTCAATGCAATCAAAACTGGGCTGACCAGATGAAACGTGATAAAACAGAACTACAAAGTTGTAAACCATCAAGAGACTCCTAATGTATTGCGATACTGGTGAATTAATTCTATTATTACATTTTGTTATTTTCAGTTACCTTGATTGATAACTGAATTTTCTTATATAACTGAAGATATGGCTTATTTATTCAAGACTGAATGAATGCCATGAAACAACTACCGGTACCAACAACAACAACAACAACAACAACAACAACAGGATCAAATGTGGGATAAGCATCTAACATTTCATAATGTTTGTTTTGCTATGTTTTGTTAACAGAGAAACCAATGAGCTGAGTAGAACATATCATCTCTTCCGACTTCTCGTCATGTATCATGAACCAGAGCTGTGCAATTTCCTAGAAACCAGAAAGATCTTCCCTGACTCCTACACTAAACATTGGGTAAGTGAATATACACCTTTTTGGGGGACGTAATGAGCGTTTTATTTATATGACTAATCAATGTGTTTCTTGATTCTAACACCTAATGTGACGAGGTTACTCTTAACCAGAAGCTTTTGAGCTCTGTTAAGGACAGACATTTTCATTTGGATGCATGGATATAAAACATCAGTATTGTGTCAATTGTGATTTAACCTTTTCACATCATAAATCTTTCACAAATATAAGTTTAATTACCTGAATTTGATAGATTGTTAGTCCACTTTCACTATGCAACCTTGCACATGTAAACTCTATGAAGTTGTGCTTCTCGTTAGTGCCTGACCCACTTGTGACGTCTTGCAAGAATTTGAAGTTCTGAGAGGGGTCTTGGAAAATACTTATTGAAGTTTTCAGTTGATATTTACACAACTTTAAAGCAAATGATATGTGTTCTCAATGATATAAGCTTTCCTTACATGTATGATTTGCCCATTTGGGATATTTCTTTGCACAGCTACATGTACTTTAATTGTATTCTTGTTTGTTTTTGTTTCATCAGTTCAATACAGTGTTTGCTGGTAGATGTGGTCTTGAAATCATCCAACCTATGTGGAGTCTTTACTTCCTCCAAGCCGATCCATTCCTACAGTTCTTCTTAGGACTAGTCATACTCGTCAATGCAAAGTAAGGAAAACCTCTCACAATGAGAGTTATTGATCTACACCTTAGGTGTATTTGATTGAAATAAAAATTGAAAATTTTAAATTGGGTATCTACATGTATTGTCCATTTGGAGATTTTCTTTTCACTGTTATAATTTTACAAATCAATTGACGCCAAAAAGCTGATCCATTCCTACAGTTCTTTTTAGGACTAGTCACACTCGTCAATGCAAAAAAAGGAAAACCTCTGTTAAATGAGAGAGTTATTGATCTACACCGTAGGTTTATTTGATGAGGATGAAAATTGAAAATTGGAAATTAAGTATCTATTGTGCATTTGGAGATTGGCTTTTCACTGGTATAATTTTACAAATCAATTTACGCCAAAAAGCCGATCTATTCCTACAGTATTTTGGGGACTAGTCATACTCTGACAAATCAGAATTGTTGTGAAAGTTTGAATTAAATCGAAAAAGTGTTGAATAAAGTTTCAAGTTTTGTAAGGACCCCAATACATGTCAGGTCACGTAGAGCCCTGCATCAAACTGAAGTACTGTTTTTATGTTTCCTAGCTGGAATTTTGTTTATTACCCTCCATATAAGTTGGGGCTACAAAATTATTGGATTATAGAAAAAAAAATCAGAATCTGATAGAAAGCCTATTTCCAATGGGTTCTTGGTAAACAAGACATGTTATTTGTATTTTTTGTTGTTGCAGGGAGCACATCAGTAGTACTTGTAGTAGTGGTAGTAGTGTTGTTTATTATCATTATTTGATATGTGTTTTTATTGTTATTGTTATTATCATTCTAGAGAGCACATCATGGGGATGACAGAGTCTAGTAGAGATGAGCTGATTGATTGTCTAGCCATGTTCCCTAGCCAGCTTGAAGAAGATGATGTAGAAGACTTCTTCAGCCTAGCTCAATACTACGCATCCAAAACACCACAGTCATTCAGAAGAGTAAGTGATATGTTTCTTCCATATATGCCTTCAAGGGGGATTCCCCCCATTCTGTATCATTTACATGTGATATGATTTATATCATCTTCATGTATCTGTGTGTCTCTCTGCATGTATCTTTTCATTAAATTTCTCTCTCATTCTCTTTGTCTCTCTCCTTATTTCCCTCTCTCTCTCTCTTCCCCTTTCTCTTTCTCTCTTTCTCTCTTCCCCTCTCTCTCTTTCTCTCTTCCTCTCTACCTCTTTCTCTCTCTCCCTCTCTCTCTCCCCCTCTCTCCCTCTTTCTCTGTCTCTCTCTCTCTCCCTCCTTCTCTCTCTCTCTCTCTCTCTCTCCTTATGCCTCTTTTCTGTTTTTTTCTTTCCCCTCGCCTCCCTTTCTTCAAAAGAGTACCCCTTTCATATAAAGCATCTCGTACATGATGATTTTTAATGAGAAAAGGCTTAGTACATTATGTCAGTTATCAATCTGTCAACAATGAATGTCACCCCATTTTAGTACATGCTTGTATAAAAGGATGCATGATCATTTGTTGTATTACAGGAGTACCAATCTCTATTTGGAGCTAACTTTGCCAGTCCCAAGGAAGCCAGTGAAGGACCTAGCGCTCTCTGTCTTCTGGTCAACCCATCAGAACTCCTACAAGCAGTAACACAAGGACCGGTGAGTATTCATAACACACTCATTAAGCAATGGTACACTTAAAGACAAAGTTGAGTTCTGGTCATGTGATTGCATTCTGAAAGAAACGGTGTGGAATCATTTTTTCTCATTTCATTTTAAAATCGATCAGTAAAGGTTGATCATCTAGCATAAAATAGTCCGGCAGCCAAATCCAGATTATTGGCCTAACCTTGTTTTATGGTCTATAGTTTTTTTTTCAATGGATTTTGATTGCTTAGACCTTCTATTTCAAGAATCCGATTGCTGACACTCTGTCAGCCTTGAGCAATTTAAGATATATGACGTCATACAAAATGGCCGCCAAAGTACATGATTTTCCTTTAAAAATGAATAATAAATATATAATAAGGATTTTTTCTACAATTTTTGGCAGCCAAATGTCTGTATCTCTCTAGGACCATCACTAAAAATATGTTTCGTGGTGTTGCATGGCCAGAGATGACCAGCTTATTTGCATATTTTGAAATAGCGCCCTCTATAAACATATTAATTTGAATAAAATATGTGTGCCAGCCAAATGCCAATTTCTTAAATCTATGTCACGTTGAAATCATATTAAATGCTTTTTTGGGGAAACAATTGCAGTTGTGCTGCATTAATCTTTTATCGTGTTTGGTACAAATTTAGATAGGATAGGTGTGGGGAATGGAAGACCCTTAAGCACATTTGCATAATTTACATAAACATGAACAATGTTACACATACAGACATTTTTGTATTCTCTTGAGTATTTTTTCTCTTTATTTGGTAACAAAATTGTGGTGATGATGTAACTGATTAATAAGATAACAATGATTAATGACGTCATCACCAAAGGTCTCTCATTACCTACATGTGTAGGTAATAAGGGACAGTTACAAATCAAGACATTTTAAATACAATTTGTATTGAAAATGGGATTGTTATAGTTAGTTCAAACACTTTTTGAAAGATATACATGCAGCCAATGAACTTACTGTAATTTTGAAACGATTTTAAAACAATGGGGCCCAAAATATTTCTGTAGTTTTTTGTTTACAGTAATAAAGATGCTCTCAAATATGTTAAAATACTTTCAGAATAATGTTCTGGCAATATGACTTTTACATTTATCAAACTCACAACATAGAAACAACTTCTTAAAATTAAATGCATTCAAATTAGAATGGTGACACGTACAACCAAATATGTTTCATGATAGTGCCTTTCAACATGAAATGGACAACTGGGGAGAAGCAGGCCCCCATCTTGGACCTGGTGTCCCCCATTACCTACATACATTTCTGATCAGACACCATTCATAATGTGAATTGCAACACCCATTCACAACCCAGGTCGAAATTCCATTAGGATCCGATCCTATTGGACCATCAGAAACCATTAGAGCTATTGGTGTCTAATGGTTTCAATAGGGAAAGTGAAATGATGGACCCACAGAAACCATTAGAAAATATTTATTGGACCAACAGAAACCATTAGAAAATATCTATTGGACCAACAGAAACCATTAGAAAATATCTATTGGACCAACACAAACCCACAGAAAGAAATGCTGATGGACCAACAGAAAGTTTCTATTGGACCAGCATCCACCCATGTCTTCTATAGGTTTCTGTTGGTCCATTAGATATTTTCTATGGGTTCCTGTTGGTCCACTAGAGATCTTTCTATGGGTTTCTAATGGTCCCATATTCTGAATTCCCTGTTGAAACCAATAGTCCAATGGCTTCTATTGGTAAATCAATAATGATAAATCAAAATCGATTTTAGCAACTGTCCACCGAAAAAAGTATATTCTAATCTCAATTGCATTAACTCCATCACATAGATCACTTGAAGTGAGTTTAAGAATATCCTTTATTTCAACTGAAGGCTTGTACTATTCTATATAATAAACATACATGAATTGTTTCTTGGTTAGTATTTTATAGTAATCATTATAATCAATATATCTATTGCTAAAACATGAATGAAATTGTAACATGATTAAACAAATAATCTATTGGTCATTAGTTGCCGAAAGAAAATAAAAATCACAAAATTGATGTACATTGTCATAAGTTGCTTAACAAATTATGATAAATGTAATTTTCTGTGAACACGTATAAAGTAATCATGAATATGCATGAGATAGATTTAGCTGTTGGTTTCTATTGGTTTCTATTGGACCTATTGGTTTCTATTGGTCCCATTGGGTTCTATTGGTCTCATTGGTTTTCTATTGGTCCTATCGGTCCTATTGGTCCTATTGGTCTTATCGGTTATATTGGTTTCTATTGGTCTTATTGGTTTCTATTGGTCCTATTGGTTTCTATTGGTCCTATTGGTCCTATTGGTTTCTATTGGTCTTATTGGTTTCTATTGGTCCTATTGGTTTCTATTGGTCCTATTGGTTTCTATCTCTATTGGTTTCTATGGGTGCTATTGGTTTCTATTGGTTTCTGATGGTTTGAATGGTCTCTATTGGATTCAATTCTATGGGTCCAACAGAAACTAATAGACTCCAACAGAAACCATTAGAGACCAATAGAATTTTTCTAATGGTCTCTATTGGTCTCTATGGGATTTTCGACCTGGGAACACACGGTGGCCATAAGCTTTCTGTGATGGTCGGCACATTTCATAAACTTCCTTTTAAACTATTTTTTTTAAGAGCCACCCCTAAATATCTGCATACACCACAACATTCAGTGAAAATTGTGTTTTTATATCAGAGCAAAATTTTACGATCAAAATTGCTTATCTTGGTCAATTTTGCCAATTTTCTCGTAGAGAGAACGCACTATAGTCTTCGAAATGAATTGGATATATGCAGTAGTGTTGTTGAAGGCCACATATGTCGCTATATCAATATTGGAGCCAACACGGACAGACAGTGATGGGTTCAAGCTTGGTGGTCTCCAATTCCCTACACCTACCCTACATATGTCAAGAAAAAAAAAATGGCTATGAAAGAATTTATTTTTCAACAAATCGGTGAGAAGTGGTTTTACGGCACACATTATTATTCAATTAATAGACTTTATTTAAACCAGCATTGCTCCAACGTCAGTGAATGTGGATAAAGCAGTTGACATCTATACTAGACAGATGCATGATTTTCAAAAGAAATTACCTGGTGGATTCTATGTCACAATTTCCAAGAATGTTCAAACCGTGGCAGCCATGAAGAAGTCAATGTTGGGGTACGAAAGTCTATGAAAAGTTGATCTACTCCAGAGTAATAGGACTGCAGACAAGTTCAAGAGAGGTCAATGTCAAGGACATTTTGTCATAAGAGCTTTCATCAGTCCCAACAGCACTTTTTGATGATTCTGGAAACGAGCACTCCCATGTCAAAGACGGACTTATAGAATTTGACAAAAGTTGAGATGTCAGCCAGGCATGAGACACTGGAACAACCTTGTACAGTCATTGATGGTTGTGCTCTGCTGTGGATGAAAATATGATGATGTTTGCTTGGTGTTTGACAGATCCGAGAGCATTTAGAGGTCATAACGGGTCGAGAGTCTTCCAACTGAGTCCCGCGTCACTGCTGCCCTCCAAGAAACTATATATTACTGTTCGTCGTCGTCGTTGTCATATAGAACATGGCTCACCCTTGTGACCCGTTTGATGAGACCTTTTGATCGGCATCTGTCTCCTGAAATCCGGTAGAGTGTCTTTAGTATTTAGAGGGTGGCTAGTGATTTCCCTAAGGTCGTCAGTCCATCTGAGCTTGAGTCTTCCCTTGTTACGTGTTTCTTCAAAGGTACCTTGAATGATAATTTGTCAAGGTTGTCTCCTGATCTTCTGCTAACGTGACCAAACTATTGTAGCTTGTACTTGTCAATCCTGGTAGCAAGTGGCGGTTGATCTCCGATGATGGACATTAATTGTGTCCATTGGTGTTGTAATCTCTTCATGATATCCCAAGTAGCTTCCTCCAACACCACATTTGAAAGGCAGATATTGCCGAGCTTCCACCTTCCTTGACAATCATTGACCCAAGAACATTATATAAACTTGTCCACTTGATCAACTTCTTCTCCATCAACCACCATGCTCTGTTGCATGTAATTAATTTCCACCAATCATGATCTTGGTCTTTTTCACATTGAGGTAGGGTCCAAATTATTCACTTGCATCCTTCACTCTTTTTTAAGGAGTTCTAGTAGTTCTTCTGATGTTCTTGTTATAAGTGTTGTCAGTGGCATACTGAGCAAAAACACTTAGAGGGGCAGAAAAAAACAATCTGCATCACCACCACTCATACATGTTACATGCAGGCCCCGCGGAACTTTTTTTTTAAAGCGGGGTGGGGGGGGGGTTGAAGTATTTACGATCAGGAAGAGAGGAGCGCAAATAGGCGGGGTGTTCAAAGGGCACAGCCCCCGGAAGCTCAAGGGTTTCAGGCATTTATTAACTGTAAGATGAACATATTTTGATACCTCATTTCACCTCGGGTCACTTTCTTTCTTTCTTTCTAGTTCTCTTTAACATACTTTATACAAAAAGTGAGGGGGGCTCGAGTCCCGTGAGCACCGCTGTTCTGCGGACCCTGACATGTAGGCTTTTAAATAAGCATATTTTTTGCTTGACTGTGGATTTAGGATTTGTCATTTTCCAACATACGCTTAACAAATAATAATTTACTAAAAAGTGAGAAAAAACCCATGAAAATCATGTTATTTCAGCAACATTTGTAAATTACTGGTATCGAATATATACAAAAAAACAGTTTGAATTTTGTTTGGGGGTTCAACTGTCCCCAACCCCCCCCATACCCTTCCCCATTAATACGCCAGAGAGTGTTGTATTGTCGGCGTATCTTAGGTTGGTGATCGTTCGTCCACCAACAGAAACTTGACCATAAAATGCCTTTCTCATGATGAATTCAGCATAGATGTTGAAAATTTATAGTGATAGGTTGCAGCCTTGACGGACAACCTGACCAATAGTGAATCTTTCGGTGTCGCCATTCTCTGCTCTTACTGTTGCTTCTTGGTATTGGTAGAGCGACTGGATGAGTTGAATTATATGTGCTGGAAAGCACATCTAGCTCATAATCTTCCATAGGCGTTTATGTTGTACGCAGTCAAAAGCTTTGGAAAGATCAATAAAGCTAGGGAGAGAAGTTGTTGAAACGTGTCTCTTGTGTTGCTAACTTCACTATCTTTTCATGACAACAAACTACAGTTGATCGACATCATAATTATATGCGCGAGTCTGCAGGATGATTGGGTGCTCAGAAAAAGGCAAAAGCACAAGCAGGCCTTTACCGTCAAGATGAGGTTCTTGTTGAAGTGATTCCAGGCAGTGATGTCATGCCAAGGAAAGTTCTGTCCACAACTTAGTTATGATGAAGCAGGCAACATCAAAGAACAGCAAGCGATTGGAATTGATGCTAATGAGAAGATGTATGTTAGGGTCCTAGTGGATGACACAGACGTCTACGTACTACTTTTGCATCATTATCTACATGACGGACTTATAAAACGCCAATGACCATGGAGACGCCCCTTCACAAATCGAACTGTTATTGATGTTCCTGCCAATGTAGACAAGTTAGGAGATATCATTCCATCGATGTTGGCAGGACATGCGTTGACGGGATGCGACACTCTTGGGGCATGCTTTGGCATTGGATAGCCTGTACAATGCTGAAAGTGATGAAGCAGAAGATTCGACTCCCTTAGGACTGAGTTGGCAATGTTGATGCAGCATGGTCATATGTCATCACTCAACCTACTCAATGCTTTGCTTCATGTTATGGACAGTCAACAACCAATTTATGTCAGAGGCTCGTATCAACGTGTGGCTATCAAGGGTCCGAAGACTAGGAGATCCAAATACCCCCAAACCTTGCCTCACTACCTCAAACTACTGAAGCGTTTGTAGAAAATGTTAAGAGAACTCATTTGCAAACATGCGTGTGGAAGCACGCATTACAGTCACGACCTTACTTTGCAGAATTAAGTGTTAAATGACACCCTCTTCCGCATGGAATATTTTAGGGTTCCCAACACTTTAGAGGGCTTTTAAACAAATTTCAAGATTTTGAAGCAAACTTATAAACGGATATAGTCCTGTATCGTAGTGGTAGTTCGTAATTTTTAGGTTAATTTAAAAGAATCTAGTACCTTAGAATACAAATCTAGTTTCTTAACGCTATCCCTGAAAATGGGCATTTATCACCATATGCCACCTCATATCTATGGGACAGAGAGCATGAAATTCAACCGTGTTTTCTTCGAGTATCAAATTACAAAATAAAAATAAATGTGCAGCACAATCTTTACTCACTGTATCCAGTGCATCTGACTCATGACATATGATAATCTCATGTTAGAAATTGGTATTTGGCCATCATTTTGACCTATGCAAGTTAATGTGTCTATAGAGGGCGCCATTCCGAATTATGCAAATTTGCATATCATTTGTGATCATACAGCATCGCAATTTTTATTTAGTGATGATTCTAGAAAAAAATCAAGATATTTGACTGCCATTTAATGTAGTAAAATGCTGTTAAAACCTTTTATATCATTAATTTTGGTTAAAAAGGGGATTTTGGCGGCCATTTTGTATGACGTCACATATCTCAAATTGCTCAATGCTGACAGAGTGTCAGCAATCGAATTCTTCAAATTGATGGTCTAAGGAACTATAATCCGAAGAAAAAAAAACTATAGACCCTAAAACAAGGTATATCGAGATGGCTGCCGGACTAAAAGTTCTGGAATCAAGAAATTTGGCCCAGTCTTGGTAAAGTTACAAGCACTGTACACAGAAAAATGTATATGGGTCTACACGAAAATGTAGCATAAAAATCTGTCCCAATTTTTATGTTGTTACATGCCATATTTAGAATATGAAAGCATTTGAAGAGCCATGCTTTTCAGGGAACATTTTTTGATCTGATGTTCTTCCACACTTGCATAATACCAATAATAATGCTTACAAATAATTTTTCACCTCTTCCCAGGACTCAACCTTCTCTTTAAGTTATTGTTATTGTCATGATGGAAAATTCTCACTGAATCAAATGAAACTGATACTGATATAATCAAGATTACAGAGAAATGATACTCGCTTAATGACTGGAAGAAAAAATATAGTTGCTAAGTAACGAACAATGGAAGATAAAGCAATTGTCTCCTTTGATCTTACTGTACTAGTCTGGCAAACCCATTAGAACTTCTCCAAGCAGTCATACAAGGGCCTGTGAGTATTTATCTATAAACACATTCTTTAGGTCTTTGGACAGTTCAGAAATTCCTTATATTGCCATGTACTATGTCGAGTTAATGGCCACACATGTCTTAACATTATTTTTTTTAATTTTTTTTATGCCATGAAGAAACCGTGTCTGAAGCTAAAGACTAAGTATAGCTAGAGGCACTGGAATTGGTTTCTCTTATTTTTGAGCAAGCCTAACTTATTTCCCCCGAAATTTACCAAAATAATCTAAGATATTAGCATATCCGATCAATTCATCAAATTAATATCCCTATTAAAGCTCAAATAAGACCATATAGATATGCTTGAAATGACACATTTAGTGTCAATTTGTGTTTGGAAATTCTATTCAGTATCTAAATGACCAATACCCTGGGCTTACTCTGTTATTAATTTACGTTTATTCCACCTACGCTTAAACGTTATTCACCAGAATTTTTTTTCTTTGAAGATTGCATTGTCACTTTGCTCCTACCATACAACTGATTTATTATTGGTCCTGGTATGATGGAACTCTGATATGTATCTGTTTTATTTGACAGGGCGATGGCATTAGTTACTTTGTGGTCGATTGTCGGCCTGCTGATCAATACAATAGAAGTCATCTAGCCACAGCATTCCATCTTGATGCGAACCTGGTAAGCATATTGGACACATGGGCCCCGTTTCATAAAACTTGTTATCAATCATATGTTACAATATCTGTTGTAAGCTACTGAAATTGTAGCGTTTGATTGGCTGAGAGCAGATTTGTCATAGAAAGTTAGCTTTTGTTATTGATGACAAGTTTTACGAAACATGGCCCTTCTCCTTACTTTAAGCTAACCAAAATCTGATGGCAACCCTTAACCTAACATTGTGTTTCTGACAAAATCAGTTTCAGAACGAATGTCAGATCATCCATGCAATGTTTGAGAGAATAGTGAAGTATGATGATGTAATACAGACATTTACCTCCCTCAAATGTCGTTTATAGATTTAGATGTTACAGCAACCGGCAGAGTTTGTTGTAAAAGCTCTTTTCTACACCTATTGAATCACACATTTTCTTGATTCAGCTAATTCTTATGAACTAAACAGATAGCAACAAGGTTTATGTAGATGATAATAATGATGGTGGTGATGATAAAATATTTATGTGGAGGCGCGATAGCTCATCGGTAGAGCAGAAGTCTCATAGCCTGGAGGTCCTGGGTTGGAAACAAAGTCAATGCACTTGTACCCTTTGGTAAAGCATAAATCCTCATTACCAAGTCTTTTGGAGAGGACTTAAAGCCATCAGACCCCTGGTTGTTAACTTACAAGCATATACATGCTTTTTTAGGAGTTGGGTAAAACAATCATAGATCGTCATCATCATCATCATCATGTGTATCCATTTATTAAGTTTATGCATTCTCATCAATAAGTTGCTGTTTTTGTCTGTTATTAATCTGATTATGTATAATATATTTTAGGCATCCACTGCTGCATTTCCTGGAGTCGGAAGAAATGACTTATGGGTTATAGGAATTTCACATTCCTTTTTTTCTTCAAGGCAACTTCGAGAGGAGCAGCAGGGGAAGCACATTTTACTCTTTCATACTATGTTTCCAACATATATGTGCCATTCTATTGTACCTTCTATTGTATGTTTGAAATGCCAAATAAATAATAATAAAAATGATAATTACTCCCTATAGATGTTACAGCAGCCAGCAGAGTTTGCCAGCACGGTGAAGGCCCTTCTCTCCGCCCAGCAGCAGTCTATCACAGCGGGTTCTCAAGCCGCTGGAGAGCATCTTTGTTTTATGGGGACGGGAAGAGAAGAGGAAGATCAATATCTCCATATGATCATCGCCAACTTCTTACAGGTGAGTCAACAAAATATATGTGAGGAGAAGTCTTCAGTTTCAAGATTGGATTTTTTAGAGTATTACACACTTTTGATACCAAATGTTTACCATCATGACCAACCAGAGTATCACAGAGCGTGAAAAATTGCTTCAATGTGTGCGGCAAAAATTAACATTCTCAGTATTTTATATGAATTGTTTATACATGAATATTTGAGTAATGGATAAGTGTGTATTCTGAAAACATTTGAGTTATAGATAGATATATATATATATATATATACAGTGTGACCCAGAAAAAACAAAACTGAGAATTATCAATATTTTATCATAGCTTAATCACAATTATAATTAATAATTGACACATATTTGTAAAGCTTACATCCTCCTCTTTCATTTGATGCAACTCATATGATGTATATTTCACGCATGAGTAATTAAAAGCAATTTGAAGGAAGGAAACCAAAAAGTCATTTGGCGGGCGGTATCTGAATTTCAAAGAAAAATTTACATTTCTAGAAAGTTCATTTTCTGCTCTTTCATATGACACCTCGTTCAGGATATGGTGGAGGGGGGAATACACCCATCTGTCTGAGGGAGCACCAAAATAACCCAGCCTTGTTAGGGTAAAACAAAATCCATGCTAAAAATCAATCAAGTCGAGAAAGTGTTAGATTTCTGTGAGATTATTAATCTTTGTGTGTCCTTATGTTTGTGTTCTTGCAGAGGAAAATCCAGTCAGTTAGTATGGCTGCGGGAGGCTACACAGGTGAGTAATTAATGATCATTTCTGGGGAGTGTTTCACAAAGGCTAAGATCAACTTTAAGTTAGACTTAACCATGACAAGCCATTCATGCCACTGGTTGCTCTCACTATTGGTCTCTCAATTATGATCTTTACATACTATTCTTTCCTTCAATAATGATCTATCAAAAAATATAAATTCTGTAGATTTGTGACCACGATTTAAACGTCCCTTCAGATACCAATGCAAGTAAATGGTGAGAGAAAACAGTGGCATGAACAGCCTGCCATAGTTAAATCCAACTCAAAGTTGATCTTAGTCTTTGTGAAACACCCCCCTGGTCATAATAAATTAGTTGTACCCTTCATTTCTCACCTGCATAGTGGTACTAGTTTTGAGTACCGTAGTATGTCAGTTTACCACAATTTTAAAACTTGCTTTAAAGCGGGACTGCACTACTTATAGCTACTTGCGCACTCTATATATCAAACCACGCCTAATCAGTTCCTGTTGGTCCCCCATGGTCCCCTTTTTCTTATATTAATTGAGAGCTGAGTTGTGATGAGTGACCAGGCAGGGAGGTCTAATCCCTCCTGGCCAAACTAGTGCAGATAACGACATTGAAGTGAATATTCTCAGAATCATTTTCAATCAGTTTTCAAGAACTCTGGAAAGTAAGTGAGGAATGTAAATTTATTAATTGCTGAGCATCATCATATGCACAGAAGGAGGGGATTACAGCAAGGGACCTTTTATGTTATATGTGTGTAAATGGGGTTTTACAGACCTGTAGCAATCAGACGTGACTTTATAGTCTCAAACCACGGTTTGCTGAGTTAGACCTAGTGAACGTGCTGCTAGCCCAACTCACATCTCACGTAAATATTTTTAAATTTATCTTAAACTGCCTCATCCGCAAACCATATTAATATCTGTTTTTGTTCCGCACTTTTATTTTTAAATCAGCATTACTGAAGCTAGTAGAGAAGGAATTGACATCAGGAATGATAGACCCAGCCATTCTGAAATCTGTTATCATTACACAACCTGAGAGTGCCAGCTCTGACGATAGTGGGGTGAGTTTACTTTCTATATGGGTATACAGTCAAACCTGCTTTAGTGACCACCTGTCTACAAAGACCACATTTTTTGTTTCCCTTGAAAATGGTTTGTCATTGAAACATGTACTATAGCAGGGATGCCAGTTTTCCGGCAAAAGCCTGAATTCAGACCCTGATGAGTTATTTTCAGACCACAGTTTAGGTTATTTGTGTAGAAAATAGCTCATTCTAGGTTATTTTCAGGCCCTCTGATCTATTCTAACTGGCATCCCTGACTATAGGCACCTGCCTATAAAGACCACTTTTCTTGTCTCCCTTGGGTGGTCTTTATAGACAGGTTTCACTGTATTTGGCAGAGGCACTTCCGTTTCCCAAACAAATACAATGGGTCAAGAACTGGAAGTCAGATAGATATTATAGCTTTAGAACCAATAAACTATAAGTAACATATTATGATGGTGCCTACATAGATCTCATCCAATCATCAGGGGGGAGTTCATGAAACCTGAACAATTGTATAGTAAAAAATAAGGAATTAATTGGCACTGCTTTACATTTTCTATGGAGGCCGGAAGGAACCTTGTCTCATCATCTTCCTTGGTATCATATCTACGCATGTGCTGAAGTGCACAGTGTAGGATGAAGGTCACCATTATTGTCGAACGCAGTATTTGCTGTAGAAGATCTCACAAAGTGTCTTACTTTTGGATTGAAAATTTGCACCAAGTTCATATAGTCATGTACATGTGAAATTTGCAAAGGCATATATAAAGCACATTCAAAACATAATATAACAAATGCAATCAAGATCCCTGCAAAGTATTTAGCGGGAGGTGGGTTAGATGAACTAGCAATCCTCCAATGTGTCATTGTACCACAGGCAGACAGCTCAAGTCCGGAAAACAGCTCGGTAAGTTTATCTTAGGTTTTGAACAGGACTCAATATAAAGACCTGTTTTAATCGTTGTATAGCCGCTGTATGTGTACACTAAACTGGGGGTGTTTCACAAAGATTCTAAGTTGCACTTAACTCTAAGTTGGACTTAAAATTTATTGAGAGCCATTTGTAGTCTTAAAATAAATACATTCAAAAGCGAAAATTCAAGTATTTTAAACTTTTCATAAATTCCCCATCAAGAACATGATTATCTCCTTTATAATAGAAAATATGAAAGATTTGAATTAACATGTTATGCCTTTTGAAATAACTTTTACAAAATATTTTCAATGATGCCTACGGCTTTCCATAATCGTTAAGTTCAGTCCAACTTAGAGATAAGTTCAACTTAGGATCTTTGTGAAACACCCCCCTGGACCCTGTTTCACAAAACTTGTTATCAGTAACAAGATATGACAGTTGTTATAAGCTACTGAAATCCTTGCATTCGATTGGCTGTGAGCATATTTGTCATATAATTTTGGCATTTGTTATTGATGAGAAGTTTTGTGAAGCATGGCCTTGAACATAACTTCCTACTCAAAAATTAATGTACATGTATCACCCCCTCACTACACTAAATCCATCACTATTCTTATATCAATATTTTTTTACATCCAATATGATTTTTTTTTGGTTTAATTTTTGTGACAGCTTTCAACAGCTTATATAACCTTATATAATCTTTCCAGCTTTGTATTTTCTTAGTTATCTCTTATCTTATATATTTTGTGCTCTGTTTATCTCTGTATTTTTTTTCCACTTCCCCTCCCCATTCTCTCTCTCTCTCTCTCTCTCTCTCTCTCTGTATTTCACACTCACTGGCTCTCTTTGTTTTCTCTCTCTCTCTTCCTCTCTCTCTCTCTGTCTTTTGCCCTCTCTCTCTCTCTATACTTCTCTCTCTCTCTCTCTCCCTCTCTTTCTATTCTTTCTCTTCCTCCTTCTCTCACTCTTTCTCTGCTTTGCTCTCTATCTTTCCTCCTCTTTAGATCGGTGACTCCCCTCAGAAGCTAACAGAGCGTGGTGCTGCCGTGATGGGTCGACTGACGACCATTTTCAAGAGCAAGTCTGCCTCGGTGAAAGACAAGGTTATTGAATTCATCAAGAATGATCCGGCAGGAGATGAAAAGTAAGTAATCATAGTGCATATGGTAGGATTTACTCCTCAGGGAGTGGAAATGGTGCGCACTATGTGAGTGAATGAATCCGATGGCCGGGTAATTATACCATCTGTATAGCGCTTAGTAAGTAATCGTAGCACAAAGTTGTATGTACTTTTAGAACACCTGTCGCTTTAAATTCCAGTGATAATGATAATGATAATAATAGTGATAAAGCAGTTCTTATATAGCACATGATACCTGATTTTCAAAGCGCTTAGGAAAAGGTGAGAAAGACGTGAAACAAATCAAAAAGGTGCTGGAAAATGTCTGTGACTAATGAGTACAAATGTCAATTTCACAATTGCAAAATTTAATGATCCTGTAAATGTGTCTGCTGTGTCTGTATCTCTCTCTCCCTCTCCCTCTTTCTCTCCCTCTCCCTCTCTTCCTCTCCCTCTCTCTCTCTCTCTCTCTTTCTCTCTCTCTCACCCTCTCTCTCTCTCACCCTCTCTCTCTATCTCTCTATCTCCCTCCCTCCTATCTGTGTAGACATGTAAGCAGTCTAGATACTGGTAAGAGGTACCGAAGCGGCAACGTCCAGTCAGTCTTCAGCATCGGGGATGAAGATGATGACAATGGTAAGTCTTGTTGGACTGAGTCTCATAAATCTTGTTAGGTACAGTACCTTTAATTATCAAACCAAATAAATAACTTTCTTTGGGTATCATTATAATTCTTAAAGGTTCTTTGGAAACGCCACCCCCCCCCCCCCCCTCAAAAGATGAAATGGAAGCTCTTATTACCAATCATGTGAAAGAATATTTTTTGACTAATACGTGATGATACAAATTTTGCCAGGAAACCGCTTTCTTATTGATATATTTGGTAAATTATCATATCGATCTGGCCTGGATAGATATCGCGTAGTCCCATGTACATCTTTCTGTGTACAGTGCTTGTAACTTTACCAAGACTGGGCCAAATTTCTTATAATTTTGATGATTCCAGAACCTTGCAGTACACACCAATACTTGTATGCCAGATGATCAACCTTTTCTGATGGATTCCACAGCGTTTCTTTCACAATGCAATCGCATGTCTATACCTTTAAACGATCCCAAACAAAGAAGATTGATGAATGACCTTCTTGTTGTTTTCATACTCACCGTGTGTGGTTGTTCCTTCATGCAAGGTTCAGCCATTATTGCTGATGGAAAAGATTACAGTCTATTTATTGTTTAATATAGAAATTTTCTTCGAGTGATGCACAGTTGTGACCACCTTGTTAGGAGCAGTTCATTTGATTATCCAATAGATTTTTAAAATAGTACTGTCAATCCAAATAAAATACTTTTTCTTTGGGTTTCATTATAAGTTTTGACTGAGCAACTCAGAATGAATATGTTTTAGAGTGTAAAGTATAGAATGAAATGAAACCCCCAATCAACAAAAAAAGGAGATATTTCCCCAAATTACAAAGTCGTTTTTTTCTTTCTCTCTCATGCCCTCTAACTTTTAATCCTCTCTCACTTCTATTTTGCATCATCCCTCTCTCTCTCTCCCATCCTCCTTCTCTCCGCTGGCACTGCATGCATCGTCTTCTCTTTTTCTATCCCTCTCCCTGTTTCTCCCTCCCTGTCTCTTTCTCTTCCGTTTCACACTTGTTTTTCGTCACTCTTTTCCCTATCCCATCTCCTTTTCTATATCTGTATCTTTCTTCCCCTCCTTCCCTCCCCCTCTCTGTCTCTCTCTTCTCTCTCTTTCTCTCTTCTCTCTCTCTCTCTCTCTTCTCTCTCTCTCTCTCTTCTCTCTCTCTCTCTCTCTCTCTTCTCTCTCTCTCTCTTCTCTTTCTCTCTCTCTCTCTCTTTCTCTTCTCTCTCTCTCTCACTTTCTATCTCTCTTTCTCACCAAACAGAGAGTGTTGGTGGAGCTGGTTCGTCAGACGAAGAGAGAAGAGAGCTGGTCAGTACAGATACCTGGCTCAAGAAACCGGACATCCTCAAATCTTTTGATTGCCAGGAGGTCAAAGACAGCGGTCAGACTTATCCTGGGTGAGGAAAACCAAAACATAGTTGCTATATGATGATGAGATGAGGGTGATGATGGTGATAATGATGATGAGGCCTAAAAAAATAATGTTGTTTTGCCTTTTAGGTGCCAAAACATGGGTCGGTCGGTCAGAATTGTTTTTTTGTTTTTAAACTCCCTCTTTGGATTGATATTTCTCAGTTTAAAATGCTTTAATAGATTTTTCTTCTAAAAAACGGTAACGACCGTCGATTTCACAATTTTGGGGTCGGTCGCAAAGGGCAATACAACATCTTTTTTTTTTAAGCCTGATGATGGTGATGATAATGGTGATGGTATTTGTGGTGATGGTGAGATTGATGTTGATGGTGGCTATGATGATAATGATGGTGATGATGATGATAATGAATTCTTGAAAAGTGCTCATTATCATAATACATGACACGTGACATTCCACTAGAGGAGAGGGTGTGTCATTCTGTATTCTGAGATACATTTCGTTTCATTCTTCATAATTCCCTCTTATTCCAGACACGTCCTTGTCACGCCAACTCATTTATACATCCTGAGAGAGGCCACCAACAGGAAAGGCTTCTCCTACATCATGGCTCGCCGCTCCCTGGCCGACGTCGTCAGAATCACCTCTAAGAAACGCTGTTCCGAGTTCATCACATTCCGTTACGGCCGCGTGAACGCTGCCGGCGAGACCCTTGTCTACGGCATCGACAGGATCTACATCCCGGAGGCGTCTGAGGCGACCAAGATGATCAAGCAACTGATCGTGAAGTGTATCGATGAGAAGGATCCGCCACAGGAACCTGCCAAGGATTCCCCGAAGAGCACGGACAACTCGGACAAAGAGAGCGAGCATGCTAAAGGGGATGCAGAGAACATAACTATACCAAAAGCGGAGGAGGAGTCAACGACGGATGCACAAAGTGAAAGCAAAGAGGAAGGTGTGGAGGATGATGGACTAGATGAAAAGGAGGAGGGAAAGGGAGGAGAGGATGAAGGGAAGGTAGAGGAGAGAACAGATGATGTCAAGGAGGAAAGCTAGTATCAGCTGCTGGAGAGACTCTGTAATGAGAAGGAAAAGACAAATTATCTCACCGGAGTTCAGTGCAACACTCCCCACACTCCCTCTCATGGAAAATGATATGCATCACTGAGACATGATACAGCTGTAAACAACTGTGAAAGGAAAAAATATTGACTTACATAAGTAATCTGCAAAATGGAGTAAATATAAGGACATTCAGTGTGTTATTTCATAATGAATTGAATTGTATTGTATTTAACCTGTATAGGAGACCAGCAAAAGGAGACGATGTTTTCTTTAATTGTAGTTGGTCTTTATATGCAGGTTCTCCCTAACACATGTGTTAATGGGAAACACTATTCAGGGAGAAACAAATGTAGTCCCTATGGATAGATGGTCTTTCTATACTGGTGGTCACCATGGTAGGTTGGGCTGTTCCCATCACCCTCCCTCAATGTTCAGTCATACACAAGGCAATAATGTATGCACGCTTTCAACCGTGGATAAAACATTCATTTATAAATCAATATGCATGTAACTAATCTATTGGCTTTATCTAAGTTTTTCACTTCTTTCACGCACACGCAAAACTGTAAAACAGGGCTTTGATGTATCGGGTATCCAAAAGCATTTTTTGATGATTGAGAAGACTGATAAACCCATGTTCAAATTGTAAATAATGATCATGTATTCTTTGTTGAATCAAAGTTACAATATACATATGTTAATAAAGAAAGAGTTGAAATCTAAGAACATATACAAACAAAGATATACATTTTATTTAAGATTATTATTTATATTACCATCAGATTACGTATGTATTACGCAAGTGCATCGTTGACATTGGGACATTGCTTGTACAGTGATTAAGTTAGGGCTATTGTTTTAGAATAGACCTAAACCAGTTCACGTGTGTATTCACATTGCAATCATTTGACTTGGAGGCAACCCAGGATTGGTTTATTGCTTAGTGCTTTCTCAAGGCTTGCCTGACATTTCACTAATATTGAATTTCACCAGTGAGCAGAGTAGATTTTCATTTGAAAGTTGGGGCAATATGTTTTCCTCTGTAAAATAATAATTAATATAATAATAGCTGAGTCTTGTATAGCACTCATCAGGCACATTGCCACTCTTGGTGCTACATTATCATTACCCTGGCTTTTTAGCACCGCTGCTGTTACGGCGCTCAAGCATTTCAAGGAACTTATTCCGGCCAGGTACCCATTTACCTCACCTGGGTGGAGTGTGGCAATTGTAAATTAATTTCTTAAGGACATTAGTGTTGCGAATGGGATTTGAACACCGTACCTTGTGGTTCACAGTCCGGAGACTTGTCCACTAGACCACAACACCTTATTTGTTAACAGTCGTAAGTGGTGCTAGAATGTGATAGATTTTAACAAGATCAATGGAAGTCTGTTTACATGTATTGAAAATGGTTACCTGACATAGCACCAGTAAAATGCAAAGAAAAGAGAAATATATCGACAATTTCTTGTTGCCAACCCTGTATCATTGCAGTCAATCACAATGGCCAGTATGTATGAAAGCAAACTATTTCTGACGAAGTTGAGACGCAAAAGCTCTGTGTTAGAGGAGTGGTCTCGTAACTGGGAGGTCCCTCGTAGAGGACTTTATGAAGCCGTCTGTCCCCTAGTTGCTTACTTACAAGCATACACATGCTTTATTAGCAGTTGGGTTAAACAAACCGTCAAACCATTTTATTAGATCGGGACATTCTACGGATTCACAATTTAAGCAACAAGCATTTGACTCTTCAGTCACTACACTATTATCCAATTCTCCATCGATTGGAGCAAGCAAAAGTTATGAAAACTAAAAAAAAAAAAAAAAAATATTTTAATTTGATTAAAGCCCGTCTGCACTAGTTTAGCCAGGAGGGATTAGACCTCTCTGTAAGGTCACTGACAGGTGGTTATCTAATCAAATCAGTTCTCAATTAACATAAGAAAAAGGGGATCAGGGCGGACCAACAGGCACTGATTAGGCATTGTTTGCTATATAGAGGGCGCAAGTAGCTATAAGTAGTGCAGTGGGGCTTTACGTTAAATTTAATATTCTTACATAATAAGTGGAGTGAGATAGTCAAGTTCTGCTCAAGATGAAAAAAAATAAGTGCCAAATTAAAGTGGGCTCTGTCATTCTTTAATAATAATAATAATATTCCGCTTATATAGCGCTTAATACAATGTCTCTAAGTGCTTTACAGATATACTATTACCCCGGTCATGTATTCCGGTGCTGACTCTATGAATGAAATCACCCTACACCACTGTGTAAAGTTCTTCACTTCATGTTCCATATAAATTAGTGGTTATGATACCTGATTTTGAATGAAATGCAAATCCATGCTTATACAATTGATAAGATTGCAACCTTTCACAAGCACAGAAGATTATAATCTGCTGATGCCATTCTAATAGAAACTCAAGTTAAGGAGGGGGGGACCCAAGTCAAGATGTTACGTATTTTACAGATGTGTAATAGTTTGTAATTTGTCTGTGAACTGATGTTAGCGTTTTAGCTTACTTAATGAATACTAATGAGGGATTCACCATTAATGGATTCTCCTTCTTTTTAAGTCGCAGTTATCTGATGCAGACAGTTGTTCCCATGGAAACCGAAGAGTAATGTCGTCTTGCTTAATCCCAAAATCTTACAGATGTGTGTGAGAGTGGCTCTGCCTGAATGCTGCCTCTAGAAACATGTTTGTATTTCTGAAAATATTTGGGAAGTTGCCCCCCCCCCCCCTCCTTGCATCATCTTCTTCTTCTTCTTCTTCTTCTTCTTCTTCTTCAGTTGCAGTACAGGCCACCGTCAGGTGAATTGTCGTACTGGTGAGGTGCAGTGCAGGTGTGTGTACAATTTCTAATAAGAGGTACAGTTAACTGAGTGCGAGTAAAAACAACTTGTAGATGTGTGTGAGAGAATTCTGTTTTCTCTGCCTCTTTGATGCCTCTAGAAATGTATTCTCATTGTTGCAAATATTTGGGAAGTCTCCTCCTCTTCTCCCCAGCTAATTTAAAAGAATTGAGTTGATTTGGTAGTTCATGTATTTTATAGGTTATACAAAGCTATTTATTAAGTTTTAACCTTCACAAAGATGCGCTGAATATTGTCTGTTCGGAGCCAGAAGGGCGTTAACTCTATCGTTTTACACAGAGTTAACACCCTTCTGGCTCTCAACAGATGATATGAGGTAATTATATAGAACAATGTCAATGTTTATTTCATTTCAACCTTTCAATGCTTCATTTAAGTTTAACAAATTAATGCTCGAGTTCATAACTTGTTAAAAAGTGATATTGTGTGTGTAGGGAGTCAGATGGCATTACATACAATCAGCACTGGTATAATGAATGACTGCCCTCTGTTTAAGAGGAAATACTGTAATCCTCTTACTTTGGTTGGTCATGAAAGTATCCATAGCAAACCTAACATAATGAGTCTTGTGAGATTTTCACCCCTGATTTTATGTTTGTCTTTATGTGGTTACTCTGCCGGAGCTTACCCTGTTCTAACATGAAATAATCCTGTGTTATACTGGTTAAATGGGGATTCACATTGTAATCTATTTTAATATTTATTTGCCAGGCTTCTCCTCATTCCTTATATTTCTCCATCTCTCAATTGACCTTGTTTGTTTTTCCTCCATCTGCACCATTCCTCTCTATCCCTCCATCTCTCTCTCTGCCACTCTCTCAGTCTGCTTATTTTTCTCTAGCTCTCAAGATTTTTGCATCAGTTTATATAATTTGTCTTCCCCCCCCCCCCTTCTTCTCTCTCTCTCTCTCTCTCTCTCTCTCTCTCTCTCTCTTTCTTCTCCCCTCCACCTTTTCTAAATAGGGTATGTTTCATCTGGTACATGGAGATGTTTTGCTGGCCTTTCCCATACTACTCATAATATACTGCACGTCTCTCTCCCTCTCTCTCTCTCTCTCTCTCTCTCTCACTCTCCTTTGTTTATTACTGCCAAAATGTCCGTCCTAAACTATGACATTTCTTTTATACTTAAGCATATTTCCTACTCCCCATATGATTTATCTTTGTTTTTTTATTTTGTTATAGAGTATAGAATTTCTTAATATTTATTAATCTGTTTCTTTTTCTATCCAGTGGGCCTTATTTGCTAATCATTAACATCTATTTATGTCATCTGTTTGCTACAATGATAGTGCATTAATTAGCTAGGATTGAAGCATACTAACTGCATACTTTAACATGATTATTTATTTGAAATTATTTTTGCTATCGGCTAGAAAGAAAAACTGTATATATTGTAAATTTTAAAGAAAAGGAATGCATGGAAAATAACAATTTCTGATGTTTATTGAACCATGGGCATATATTAGTTCAATTAATATCAGTTTTCAGAGAGAAAACTACAATAAACACTGTTAATGTTCATTTTATTTACTTGTAAAAAATATTAAATGGCTCAAATTGATGAAAAGTGTTCTAATTGTTAAAAGCTAACTATAAATGAAATAAATGACAATGCATTATACATGAAGTAAAATCTGTGTCCCGTTTTTATTTCGTGATTACTAATCGCCAATAAGACGGGGAAATAAACAACCAATCGCCGTGTTTGTTGTTGTTGTTTTAGTTTGTTTTTACATGTAAACCTATGGAAACTTCGTGCAACAAAAGTCAAACGCGTACATGCACTGAGCTCTGTGTTAGCAGTTTTTAAAAAAAGACGTTGGTATATATAGCCCTTGCGACCATGGGTTTCGATCCTTACATAATACCTATTCATCAGGGGGGATGAATGAATAGATCACCCCCCCCCCCCCTGATGAATAGGTATCGGTTACGGATCGACACCCATGCTTGCGACCGTCCTAAAAATCTCCATTTTTTACCGTTTTTTAGAAGAATCTTTTTTTATTGATACAAAAATATGTGTTAAAAACATTCAAAACTTAGAAATATCAGCCTAAAGAGGGAGCGAAAAAAAAATATTTCAGAATGACCGACCCATATTTGGCACCTAAAGGGCAATACAACATCTTTTTTGTTTAGGCCTCATAAGATGCAGAAATATGAAGCGTATGAAACTTAACGTCATGAAACAAACCGCTGCGAGGCTATTCGCGAAGACTTTCATAAATCAACCTAATACCTCGGTCATACCATGGACCTATTACCGATGGACATTCAACGTGATTCTTTCTTTGATCTAATGATAGTCGCCGCCTTCTGATTATGTGCATCTTAATGAGAACATTCAGCTGTTTTAACAATAACGACTGCGTAAGCATTTTCGGTCATTGACAAAGGAGCAGTTTCCCTCTCTTGGGTTTTGTTTGGATGGTGTGCTCTGTAAGAGTGTGTCTTAAATAAAAACATCCCCAATGGGGAGCAGCAAAGTTGAAAAGCAGACGTTTTTGGTGATATGAAATGTATTATTACTGATTCGCATACTTTCGCAAACCCCCATGTCCTTATAAAACAAGTAGAAGGCCATGATCTTTATAAGCCCTGTGCGTTGTAACTCTGGAATATGTGAATAGTTAAGGTATTACATTGAAGCTTAAACGTGCAGGGAGAAGGCGAGTTGTTAAACCTCGACAAGTCGCCATCTTGACTTAAACAGCTCGCTTTCTCACATTTTCGTCGGGGGTGGGAGGGGGGAGGTACTAGCTGACGGCGTGGTGCTTGTAATTTAGATAGGATATAAAAACTTAACAAATATAACACACCTCTACCCGAATATGAGCTGGAGGGGGCCTGAATAAATTGTGATTCAAATTCAACTTTTTTTTATTATAATCCGTCCATCCATGATTATTCTCATCCCTCTTAACAAAGGATAACGAAATCAAAGTTATAGAGTCAAAAATACAGTTCCCCAAAATATTACAGTACAATAATTATTGTCAAGTTACAGTTAACAAAAATATAGAAAGAATTACGTATCTACACGACAAGCATCGTCAGGAATATACATTGTTGAATATAAGAGAGGAGAATAAGGATATGGTAAATGATAAGGGGCAGCCGTTGCTCGAGTACTAACGGTGATTTGAAGTTCTCAGTGGGAGGGGCTGGGCGTTGCCGACCTTGTTCCTCGTCATTCTCATATCTCTTTCTATTACTTCCCTTATCATCCATCATGGTTTATTATTTCTCCATCTTGTCACTGTTTTCTCTCTCCTTTTGTTTTGTTCTTTTCTGTTGTCGATCTGCTAATTCTTTCCTCTTCATCTTTCATCTCTCTCACGTATATTTTATATCCCTTTTTATCTTTTCCATCCATTTTCTTTCCTTTTTCCCTCTTCCTTCGTTCTTGTTTTTATTTCTTCTTTCCTTTTCCTTTTTCTTTTCTTTCCTTTCTTCGTTTTCAATTCTTCTTCCTTTTCCTTTCTTTTTTTGAAGATAGATGTGACACATTTGCGGTATTAAAAAAAAAGTAGAGCCGGGGGTCACCCCCCCCCCCCTCCTTTAGCGATGCCCCTGGTTGCTGCATTAACCCTTTGCCCTTTTTGCGCTTGAAGGAAAAGACAACATAACCAAATCTATGACCGCATAGAATGCAATTGAATGCTCAAGTCAGAATGGTTACAACGGGGAAATCCATCATAATTGTGCTGGGGGGAGGGTGCGTGTGAGCAATCATACAAGATCATCAAATAATTTTCTTTTTTCATACTCGTTATGCATTATCGCTCAATTAATGACATAATTGACTTTTTCAGAATGTTTTGAATATTTACAATATTAAAAATACAGTGGAATCAACTGAATACCTTGTTAATTACTATAATCATTTTTTTAAATTATGAAACAATATGTCTTTTATGTATATTCTGTTATCTGTATTATATTTGTGAAATATATGTTAAATGTGAAACCAATAAACTCAACTCAACTCAACTCAACTAGTACAATACTCAGAATACAGTGAATTGGCCTTTATTTACCACTTTTTTCAAAGAATATTTTGTATAATTTACTATATTCAAAATACCGTAATTTACAATATTCAAAATACAGTGAACTTATTTATTTATTGAAATGGGCTAGTGGCTTAGTACACACGCCCCCCCCCCCCCCCTCATGAACGACGAAGAAAAAAAGGAAAGAGATAAGAAAACAGAACCTAGACAAAATGGGAGAGAGGAAAAGAAAGGAACGTACGGAACGGACAGGAAAAGTAGATGATATGACCCCCTCAAACACCGTCCCTTGATGTCAATCGTGTGTATGTGTGTGTATATATAGGCCTATTGGGTTTTTACAGACGTGTATCAATCAGATATGATTATTTACGTCTGGGGACCGACCTTTAAACCTCACCATCCGAAAGACGTGACTCAGTTTCGAACTTGCGTCCTCGGACCTGCGTCCCCACTGATGCCCTTGCCTTTTAACTAAAGCCTACCGCACTCTTCCTGCCATTAGATTTAATCGAAGAAATTACAATTGTATTCGACTTAGTAATCTAAACAAACATCATGTTCCCGATGTATACAGGTTCCAAATGATGATAAAACTGCTAAAAACTGGACTTTTAGTTTTAAATCATTAGATTAATTACCAAGAATGTATAAATTATTTTGAATGATCATAATTATTAAATGCGGATCGTAGTTGGATCATGATGGCGTGTAAGTGGCTTAACAAGACTCGCGCTACGTTCCTGGTTAAGCCTATGTATAATATTCTCAATACGTTGAAATTAATTTTTGCAAAACTCAGAATACGATAAAGATACAATGTTCAGAATACAATACGATATAGTGATTTACAATTTAATACAAATACGGTGACGTCCTTTACGAAATTCAAAATACAGACTGTGAAGCTTTTTTTTCTACAGTATTCTAAATAAAGTTATGATTATTTTTGTTTTTGCAAGATTCAGGGTAGGCCTACCTTAAAGTTAGTGCCATGTTTTCACTGCTCAATAAATGCTGAATCGTGTGTATTTGGTAAATAACTTTATCGATGAAGTAAATCAAATTTACTTATAAACCTGGCTTATATGGGATAAGGGCACATTATTTTGTATTCAAGTTTTTTGGTAATGTTTTTGCGAAAGCCATTGGCGTCTCTTATCTGTTTATCAACTTTGCAGTTTATAACTTTTGAGAGCGAGTAAGAAATGACACAGAAATCGCTTTTTTTCGGGCCCTCGATTCCCGAATATGAGGTGGTGTTTGCCAGAATATTTTGCCATTTTCAAAATTCGGGGAGGGGGGCTGCCTCCTCCCCGTACGCCTATACCGATAAGATAACAGGTCGTCATATGACCAACTTTGCTGTCTATACTTTAAAATTCAAACAACAGACAGAAAGACAAAGGGGGGAGGGGGGAAATAGTTATGATTTTTTACGATCTCCGAAATTGCCGATCTGACTGAAGCACTTTGGCGTTTTTGACGTTTTTAAACAAAACCATGTGAACCCATCTTGACATGAAAATAACCTCTATAATGGTTGAGTCGAGATAGGCCTAGGGCGCTCTGGCAGTATCCACTTTTCTACCGGGATCTCTTTGCTGTTTCTTGAGGGGATGGTCGATATCCAAACAAAGAATTTCCTCTGGTGACAGCTCTCTTGAAGATATCCATGATGGCTTGACGGAACTGTGAGTGACGCAAGGTATAGATGATCGGATTGGCACAAGAGTTGAAGAAGCCGATGAGGGTAAGGGTCCGGTGATAGATACTGTATGGATACCAGGATGGGATCACTGAGAGGGTGTACAGCAAGAACGCAAACTGACTTGGTGTCCAACAGAACACGTAGACCAAGATGACGATCAGCATCAGCTGGATGACGCGGCTCCTGGCGGCAAGGTAGATATTGTCTTCGGTGGCTATCACGCGGGTCTTTGACCGGAACCAGGTGGCTTGTCGGTTCAGCTTCCTCACGATAAGAACCAGGGGGATCAACATGACAAGGGAGGGGAAGAACACTCGGTAGACGAACAGCGCGGTCCCGACAAGAATGGAAATGTAATCGGTTGAGAAGATCATGGTGCATCTACCCGCATAGGAGTTGACGATGAAGAAAGAAAACGTGGCCGTGATCAAGTAGTTGAGAACCCAGATGAGGAGTATGATAAACTTAACCCGCCGTCGATTGAGGATCATAGCGAAGTAGACTGGATGAACAATCGCAATGTATCTCTCGATGCTTATGGCGATAAGGAGGTACTAAGTTGAGACGCTCATGTTGGCCCACATTAGAACAGAAGATAGGTCTACCTTACAGTAGATCTGACCCTCCCACGTGTTTGGGACCTGTCGGGCCATGGGAAGGGGTATTACGAACAGAGACGTCAAGAGATCAGCTGCGGCTGGGTTTGCGATCAGGGTATCAGTGACTCGGTTGGCAGCACGGTGCTGATACAGAACAACGATGACGAGGGCATTACCGATGATGCCAAAGATGGCGACAAGCATCTGGAGGATCACCCAAGGTGTCAATGTGATTGAGGACCACACCCAACCTTCTTTAGTGGCAGATGTTCCGTTGCCTTCGACTGCATCAATTGCAGAAGATATAAACGAATTTTCTTCCTTGGGACAACCATCTTCATAGCTGGCGCACCAATAATGATTGAAGCGTTGGAGACGTCAAATATGGAATGGATGGATGGATGGATGGTTTCTTCTGAGACGCCCTCTGCGTCGGAGAGTGTCAACGCATCCGATGTTTCGGGTTGTATGCCTGATAGTGTGGATGGCTCAAAATGGGTTTCAGTACGTCCAGTCAGCGACTCCGCCAACAGTGGGAACGTACCCGTAGGTTGCGGAGGGGCCCTTGAAGATGCGTTCACATGGAGAGAACGGATGTTCCAGTTTTCGTCCAGTGCCAAGGCAGTCGTGACATCACCCGGGGAGGCACGCAAGGGGTTACCATCACCACCAGTGAGAAGATTAATTAGCCAGGAGTAAGTATAAAGCTGCAATCACCCGCATGGTATCATCTGAATTTTAGGCAATTAAAAACAAAATAGTTTGAACGAGTAATCGAAAGTCCGTTAGTATTGTGTGTGAAATACATCCCTTTGGCTGCATGGCAAGCGCAACCCAACCCAAGAGTGGCGAATACATAAACATAAATCAAATCAAATCAAATCAAATTGTTAGCGTTGACATTGAAATCTAGCTTCAGAGATACGAACGACAAGATTCCGTAAGTGCATAAACATATCAATTAATTAAAATTAAGTATTTATTGTCTATTCGGAGATTTGTTTTTCACTGGTATGTGTTTACGAATCAACCATATAGCTCCGTTTAGTCTCATTTCACAACGCCCCCTATCGTCAGAGTCAGCAGCCCTACATGTTAGCCTATATGGACGTTTTTTTTTTTTAATCGTTAAAAATTCTTCTTTTTTTTGTTTCAACGAAAAGCACATCCACCCCGACGTACGTTATCACTAGCTCTTTCATTGGAGCCTTCATGTCTCATTGACTTTTGAAAGTTCACCCACCGTAATTTTTCAAAATAGGTTGCAAGCTCGCCATTGCCTATAATACATATGTGAAACAAGTCGAACTTTGGACTCAGTCTGCCAAGTGATTGTAAGATTATAGGTCAAGCACACGAAGGATAAGAAGCAAGAATTATCAATTATCACTTCTGCTATGTTCATTATTTCCATTTCATCCAACCCCCACCGTAATTTTTCCATTTAGTAAAAGCAAACATTTTGCCGAGTTTAGCAAAAACATGAATATTCATGAACGGTCAGACAAATATACAGCCTTTTAGTACGTAACGTATAGTGAATGGGAATGGGCGATGATCCGTCCAGGATCGAGGTAGAAGTCAGTGTTTTGTGCTGGCAATGTTCACGCAAGCGAAAATGAGACAATCGGAGCAATATGTTACAAAAACAAAAATAATTATAGTTATAACCATAGGAAATTACAGTAATCGTTGACATGTATACAGTTAAAATGAAAAATAGAGATACGATAGCTGTTAGTGAGCAGGTTAAACGAAATCAATTATATACCACGAGGATGCCGACAGACAGAGCGAGAGAGTAAACGAGGACCACATGTAGGCAAATGAGGGAAAGTAGAGAGGAAAAGATGAAAAGAGATGTATATAATATTATGCATAATGTATTTTGCAAATCCAAGCGGATTGTTCTGCTGCTTGAAATTTAAAATCGATGAAACATACATTTTCACCCTCCTTTAAACACAAGTGTAGAACCCAAAGGACAAAAGTGATTTTGTACAGTGCGTCCCGGAAAAAACGAAACCGAGAATTATTGATGTTTTATCATAACTTAATCACAATCATGATTAATATATGACACATATTTGTAAAGCTTACATCCTCTTCTTTCATTTGATGCAACTCGTATGATGCATATTTTACGCATGAGTGATTAAATACAATTTGAAGAGAGGAAACCAAAAAGTCATTATGCGGGCGATATCTGAATTTCAAACAGAAAATCACATTTCTAGAAAGTTCATTTTCTGCCCTTTCATATACACCTCAATTAGGAAAAATGAGTCAGGAATAACAAAGTTCTGTTTGTTTAAAGTGATGCTTGCATTTCCATAATTTGATTTGATAAGTTCGTTTTCACTGGCTGCCTGCCGTAGCAACAAGCAGAATTGACAAAAGACTTAACTCCGTTTCGTTTACAATGAGGCATACATGAAGTCTTTCGGCCATGCCTGATCATATTTTCACTCATCTGAGGAGTCACGTAAAGAGTAATTTGAGTAGTATTCCATAAAACGTATAGAGGCAGATGCAAATACATTATGACGCCTAAATACAGATTATTTGTCAATTAAACTTACCAGAATATCAGGCTATGTGTGACAAGACAATTAAGATGAACAACTAATTGTAGTAGATGCAGGGCTGAGTGGATGGAAAGACGGCTCCTGTTTCAATTGACATTTTGAATTTTATCCTCTCATGATTGCCTCCTAGCCTTTTCTTTAAATGGGAAATACGCATGCGCCATTTAGGTGCCGTGTGCATAAACTCTGGTCAGGGTCTCGGCAAAGTCCCTGATTGGGTAAAGTTTTAACCAATGGCGTTTGATAATTTCTTACTGACCTGACTTTTCATCTACTAGATTGCATAATATGATTGGTTGATTAAATGCATTGGCGTAGCGAAGTGTGGGGGGGGGCGGTGTTGGGATTTTCTTAGAAATTTAACAATGCATTGCGCGCAGATGAGTCGAGTTACAGCATGTCTCCCCCGAAATGGTCCAACAAAGAAATTAGGATGTACGATTTCATTATTTATACACCCTCTGGTACTGTTTTAATCAGCTGATCGTGCATCTGTCTTTGCTGATGTATTTCAAAATTAAGGTTTTCTTCACGCTATATGTATATAATTATGTTGTCATATTAAACTAAAATATGTTTTCTTGTACAGTAATTTATTTTGAAATAGAAATTGCCATCAAATTATATGTATGGTGCCATGTCAAAAGAAAATAAATATCCGCTCTCTGGAACATTCATCTCATTTAATGGTGTAACTTCAGAGCAGCGAATTTCCATCCTTTTGATTGAATCCTGATTGTTCACAGGGGATAATTGTCTTCGATTGGGGGGGGGGGGTAAAGTTCTGCCTTGGACGCTACATTTCTTCATTAAATGCTCGTTTTGTTGTACTTCTATGTTTTTCGAATGAGTTTAAATTTCATATTGGACAAAGTGAAACAAGACAATACTATAAAAGGAGGTATTAGAATTACTTATCTGATTGGTACACGTCTATAAGAACCTGATTTAACACACACACACACACACACACGCACTCGCACACACACATACACAAATAGATCACATCACATGCCTCAAAAACTTTCCATTTCATTAAGCCAAAGACTTCAGCTTATCGAAATATCACCATATATCACTTTTATCATTGTCATGTATTTTGCACTGAATATTATCTGATTTTGTATGTTTTCATTATAATCTCATAACCATAAACCAGGGGGAAAATCGTAGAGAGGGTGTCTCTCTCTCTCTCTCTCTCTCTCTCTCTCTCTCTCTCTCTCTCTCTCTAATTGCCATATCGATTGACTTTGGCGATCATGCTGTTCCACAACCCTCGGCTCCTATATAGCCTTATCTATTAGCATCTCTCCTAGTTCTTTTACTCCTCTTTCCTCTACAGACTGTCCATCCAAAGTATCCTTCTTCTCCCCCGACTCCTCCTTCTCACAATAATGTCCATGTCAAAGCAAGAGGTGTTGTGGTCGAGTGGATACGTCACCGGACTAACGATCACAAGGTCCGCGGTTCGAGTCCCACCACGGCACTAATGTCCTTTGGCAAGACATTGATCTACACTTGCCACTCTCCACCCAGGTGTTAAAGGTACCCGGTAGGATGCGAAAGCCAATGTGGTATGCTTAGCAATTCGAGCCAAGTAGCTCTTGTTGGAATGCTCCCCAGGGAGTGGAGAAAGTGCATACATTGTGTGCGGGCAAGCCAGAATCCGATGACCGGGGGTAATAATGTAAAGCGCTTAGAAACTCGTACATTCCCGACGTATTAAGCGCTATATAAGCAATATTATTATTATTATTATTATTAAGACTCTCTAGGCCTTCTTAAAGGTACTATGTCCCATTTGCAGGCAAAAAAATGAAAAGGTTAAATTCCAACCGGCCATTTGAAAGAATTAGAACTTCCCTTTAAAAGGGGGGTGGGGCTTGAAAATGTCTTGAAGTGGGAAAATAATGACTATTAGTTGTCAAATCGACTTTAGGGCTATAGAGACCATTGTACCGAATGGTCGTACGTTTAATCAGTTTAATTTTGGCCATTTCAAGTAGTGGGTTATTGATGTAGACAAATGCACATGTATCCTTTGCAACTCAATTTATGTATGTTATTACCAAAGAAGAAGCCAGTCGTGAACTTAAAATGCCTAATCAACATCTCTCATATTATATTTTCCTCTTCCCCTCGTTACCCTTCTTAATCTCATTATACCACTTTTTTTATATGTTCTCATTTTACTTCTTTTAATGCATACTCATACATCAGAGGGAAGATCATAAAAAGTGTCTATAAAGCGTGTTGTAGCATCTGACAATATTTTACTACATGTACTTAAGGCGTGTTTGAAGCTTGACAATATTTTACTACTTTAGGGGTTCATCTATACTTGGTCTTATTCTCTATCATAACATAATATTCTTTTGCCATGGAAAGAAGATTCGGGTGCAGCGCTCTTACAACAATTGTCTGTGCTTTGGCAATGATGACGCCATGTAAGTAGTCAGTTTAATTCTCACTATGCCAAAGGCATTTTACTTGTTTCAAGATTTTACCAAAACATAAACAATGGTTACTTTTCAATTAACTGTTATTGTTTAACCATATCACAAAATAATTTTAACAAATGTTTAGAAAATTCATTACCAATTATTATGAAACCAAAACCCCTAATTCATTGAATGTCATGAATAATATGACCAAGAATCCACACGAAATTTATAATTTTCTTTAAAAAAACAGTGGCTAGTATAACGTCGGTATATATGAGACATTTTACAATACCGGTACATATTGTAGTTATGTTATATCATGCATTGATTTTTCTCTAATGTCAATTATGTTAATATTGCTTGGTCAAACAGTCATGATAACTTTATTACTCAATTATTTGTTTTGCAGAAAAAAAGCCTAAGAATAATTTATAATTCACCATATAAAGCTCATACCTTGCCAATGTTATCCTAGTTATATCTCCTAAACGTTTATGATATTGAATATTGCAATATTTATGTTTATGTGTTCTAGAGGCTTATTATCATCTCTAATTACATCACAATTTGTTTTAAATTCTAACATATATAATTTAAGTACATGTAATGCTGTAGGATACCATCTGCCAAAAGTTAGAACTAATATTTTGAAGGATACATTTTAATAAAAAAGGGTCCTCATCTATATGGAGCACTATTTCGAACCATCTAAAGAATCAACCTTCTGTAAATAGTTTTTAACGTTCCTTTCGATCGTTTTTATTAAATTTGTACTCAGCAATTTGAATATCATATTTGATTTATGACGTATGTAATACGTCATACCATGTCTTATGCTCAACTTCTGCAGTCGCTGAGTGTTGTCAGACTGTCTGAACGACGCTCTGTTCTTTGCGAAAAGTTTGCTAAATCCCTAATGATCTCAGACCGCCACCTCTTACCTGAAACTAGACAAACTATCTCACAACGCACTCTCCGCAACTCTCTCCAGCTCAATACCCCCAAAATGAGAACAGAGCGTTACAGACAGTCTCCCATTCCCCACTTCACACGAATCCTGAACTCAAATCTGTAGATATTTTCACTTAATATAATGACTATATGTGACCAAGATGTAATTTATTAATTTCTTGTCATGCCATTTAATCGGATTAAATAATATTTCATAGTACCTGTATAATGATAGGACTATATTCTGTAAGTAAACATAAATTGTATATTTTGTATTATCATATCTCTCGGAAAATCATCTACCGGTATATAAAAATATATTTCTAAAAGAAATGTCAACTAGGTTAAAAAAGACTACTTATTAATTTGAAAGTGTATTACTTAATTGCATATGACATTTAGAAAAGGGTAACAACATATTTTACTATTTAAACGTAACAACTGCATAATTAGAACATGTATTATTTCAAGATTGTTTGAAATTAGTTGTTTAGTTCATTAGAATCAGTAATTAATATAAAAAAAGATTGCTAAAAGTATTGATTTCTTTATTCTTGTATGTATTTATAATTTGTAAACTGAATTGTATGAGTCTCTGGACTTTTTATTCAGTATGTTTTTATTTACAATAAACAATAAAACCAGAATTGAATTGAAAAATCCTTATTTTTCTGTATTACGTTTTTCTTTTTCTTTCTACTGTTTTCACCTGCATTCTTTTTCTTTTAATGTGCTGTTAAATATGAACTTTTTAAAGGATCAACGTTCAACAAGGCTAACTGTTCTTTTTATTGACCCCTCATTCGATAGAAATGTGGTTTCTGAACTTATTTACTTGTTAATGTTAATGTATTCTTATTATCTGTAATGTTACTCTTTAAAGGTACTATGTCCCATTTGCAGGCCAAAAAATGAAAAGGTTAAATTCCAACGGTATTTGAAAGATAATACTAATTTAGAACTTCCCTATACAAAGTGGGGCTTGAAAATGTCTTTAAGTGGGAGAATGACGACTATTAGTTGTCGAATCGACTTAAGAGCCATAGAGCCAATAAGTAATAGTCTGATTTTCAGACCATTGTACCGAATGGTCGTACGTTTTATGCTGCGCAAGGATTCAATCGGTTTAATTTTGGCTATTTCAAGAAGTGGGTTATTGATGTAGACAAATGCTCATGTACCCTTTACAGCTCATTTTATGTATGTTATTACCAAAGAAGATAAAATCCAGTCAGTCACTCAATAGTGTCTGACAGTGAAGTCTAGCAAGTAAACGGGTTTCCTTGCATAAGTTGAATATTAGGACACTGCTAACGTTTAAATTTCACAGATAGGGCATACATGACATAGGCCTATTAACAATTCCTGCAAAGTTCTACAAAATTTGATGTCGGCTGCAAAAGGGACATAGTATTTTTATCATGTATTTTTTTTTCTTAAAATTTTGTATACTTTTTATGTATTGTATATATATATATTTTTTAATGAAGAATGGAATAAAATACCTATACCTATAGCTATATAATTATATATATATATATATATATATATATATATATTTCACTTTCAAGTAAACAGGGTTGCTTCTTCGTTATATATTAAATAGGTATTTAGAATGATTGTTACATGGTCTATAATATAGTGATTTAAATGGACTGCCAGCTATTTCTTGGTGGTATTACGCGTGATTGAAAATACCTTGAGTCTTTTTGTCAGATAAATGTGACACCGGCACAGAAAATGTGTGTTCCAAAAATTATCATCAATTTCGTTACGCTCTTAATACCTAATTCAAACCGACCCCAAACCGACCCCAGACCGACCCCAGACCGACTCCAGACCAACTCCACACCGGCTGATTTTCGACCATTGGGGTTAACGTTATTATTTTGTCCAGTGTGTAGTCGGTGTGATGTGGTCTCTTCGGTGTGACTGAGGTTTAATATCTAAGACTATGTTCCTATTCGGATCAAGTTTCAGCACTCGAATCGCCGGGTTCGCTTGGACATGGTAGTGATAGTTGCAAACCGGTCGCGTTGGACGGAAAAGATGTTGAACAGAAGACCACATACCGTGTTGACGGCAAACGCTCCTTTGGAAGCCCGGGAAGCCCGGGTCTCACCAGGTTCAACGTAAACACTGCACAGCCGGTATGAACATGAATCCCTTTGGTAATCTAGCATGGGGGGGGGGGGGGAGTCAATTCAATTTAAGACCTAATATTGACTCATTTATTTTTGAAATTTATCATTTCTATACTTGGTTGGCCATTTTCACTAATAGTTGGGTTCTTCCATCTATGATATATCCTGACAAGATTTTAATTAATAATTAAATTGCTTGATTTGATATTAAAATAATTGCAGTAACAACGTTGAATCATACCACATTATAATTTAGTTCTCTATGCGTTTTACATTGCAATATTGGTTAACATAAACTGCTTCCCGTAATGTTGAAATAAAAAATGTCTTATATTTGTTTGTGAAATGACTGTGACAATATGATTTAATCTCAATAAATAAGTTCATATCTTCTCAGAACTTTACTGATCGATAAAGATTGGTAAATAAAGATAACATTAATAAAACAACAGCAACAAAAATAAAAACGGAGACCGAAAACGCCTGGGTTGATTTCTTTCTACACAAGCTACAAGGAACCAAAAATGTAAAATATACATGATTTGTTTTCTTCCATTTAGCATGCAGGCTTCTAAGTAATAATAAAGAAAATAATGACAATACAATTTCTCATTATAATATAGCTTATTTTCGCCGCAACTATTGCATAGAACATAATGCTCTTTACAATGATTACGCCAAAAAGACACATTTACAGGGGCGGCGATTTTTTTTTTTTTCATGACTGGGGAAGGGGCGAAATGCGAGTGAAAATCTAAATTCCGTTGGTATCACTGTGATACCAACGGAATACAGATTTTCTACAATATATACTTGTACATTTTGAAGGATATAATGCGAGGGAGCTTGCGACCAAGCGTGAAGATTCTTTGCACTTTTATTAGTTTAAACGCTGCACTGTTGGGCCCTCCAGAGCCTAAAAGTGTGTTGCAGTCTTTAGTCAGTATTTGCTATACATTTTTTGGAGGGCACTTTTTCAATTTTCAGGGGAGGGCGACCCCCCTGATAAAATTGAGGGGGGACGTGTTTTGCTCTGGATTGCCGCCCATGCGCATTTGTGAGAGTTTCTTCCTACTTTTGTTTATTACCGCGAAACAAAGATTTGAGAAGCTCTCCTGAAGTGTTTCCTGGGGAGCCACAGGACTGTGGTGACATCAAGGCAAGTGGGCTGAATATGAGTGGAATCTATGGCATATATCCTGGAGGATTCGGAAGACAGTTCAACGTCTACTGCGACATGGACACCGCTGGTGGTGGTTGGACGGTGAGTCGAGGGTTCAAATCCCAGCTCAACACTAAGATCCTCTGGCAATCAAATCCATGCTTCGCTACTCTTAACCCAGGTGTAAATCGCTACCTTATATGCTAGCGCGCTACATCGGCTATTTTGAGTTGGAGCGACAGAGTGGTCACGTTGTGACCGATATGTACCCTGTATAAAAAAAAAACCTTATTTTCCTCCTTTCCAAGTTGAATGATGTGTTGGTTTATTTTATTAAAAAATATCCATATCGATGAATGAATAATATACAAATAAGTTATTGGAAAGACGCCTGGATTGCTCTAGTCAGAGCCACCTTATCACGGATCTCCTAGATGTCTAGAAAAAATGAGTGCGTTCTAAGGGGTACTGGAGATGATGGGGTGGGGTAGGGTAAACACTGATCCCCCCTTCTTCGACATCTTAAAAGCTACCAGTCAATGCCACTGTGACGTAACATTTTGGAAGGTTTCATTATCTTTAATACTGAACGTGTCCATTTGTATGCCACTCTGCACAGGCGCGTACGCAGGATTTTTTTCAAGGGGGGGGGGGGTTTAACATTTATAAATCGGGCCGAAAATTTCGCAACGACTCAGCCAGCCGCTGAATAAGCGGGTGGGGGGGGGGGGGGTAAGAGGACACATTTTTTTTTTTTGGTCTCGAAATTTGAAAGTTTGACATTTTGCTCCGTTGGGGGGGGGGGGGTAAGGTCAGCCTTTTTAGGTCAACCATTGGAAAAAGAAGAAAAAATTCCAAAGGGGGGGGGGTTTAGAGAAATTTAGGGGGGTTTACACACACAAAATTACCAAAGGGGGGGTTTAACCCCCAACCCCCCCCCCCCCCCCCCCCTGTGTACGCGCCTGACTCTGCATCATAACTATACTGTTCCATTAAGCTTCAGATGAACAAGTATTATCACCATCACGCCCACATCTTCCTTTTTTTATGTTTCAATTAACAAGTTCTATCGCCTCTAAATATCCATTTTTCACTTTCCTCTCAAAATGATCAGTCAGCTATTCTGAGTTTTAATTCCCTCGTATTTCCCTCTGTCGTAAATAAAGTGCTTTTAAAACTTGACTTTAATGCATTTCAAAACAAAGTTAAAAACACCTACTAATTCTTAAGCATGTTAAAAGCATTTTTAAGAGCTCAAAATTCTAGTTTGTATTACTTCTGAGTTTTTACATTTCTAAAACTTGATACGAAAGAACATAGTAGGCCCAAAGGAGCACCTTCGAATGCATTATTTTAATTGTTATGACGGGGGTATAAATATCAAATTAGATATCTGTAGGGGGATCTTGAAAATTACACAAAAACTTATTTGTAGTGCTACGAAATAACTGACATGGATTATATAGAAAGTTTTTATCATCCACACTCTATACACTCCTGACCATAGGTCTTCCAAAGAAGAAAGGACGGTTCCGTTAATTTCAGTGGCAATTGGTCACACTACAAGAAGGGCTTCGGGAGCGTTTCCGGGGAACACTGGCTTGGAAACGATAAGATTCATCGCCTGACAAGCCAGAAGACGTATGAACTACGGGTCGATATTGAAGATTTCTCTGGGGGGACCAGCCATGCCAGTTACCGCGAGTTCATGATTGGCAATGAGACCATGAATTATGATCTGAAGCTAGGTGCTTATTCTGGCGGAGGTGCAGGTACTTTTTCTCGCAATTATGACTCTTGTCCCTGGGTTCATACATGGACCGAGGGAGGGTGGAGGGGGGGGGGGAGTACTATTTTTGAGGGTATTGCGGGTGGGTGATTCCATATCCAACAAGTCAATTTAGCCATGTATTTAAACAAAAACTAAATAACTCTTGATATAACCATCAATCAATAGTCCTTTCTGGTATCACTCACATTTTGAAATGGTCAAAAACAAATGTTTATCATTTTTTGATGAATTTAATTAAAAAATAAATTAAGATAAGTCATATGGGACTAATTTGCCTTGGGGTATTTTTAGTTTATATAATCATGTTAGTATATATATATATAGATAAATACTTAATAAACCAAAATCAATTGAATCTATTATCCCTTGTCATGCAGGAGATAGTCTTGGTTATAACCGCGGACATCAATTCAGTACCAGAGACCGAGACAACGATGCGACCCCGTTTAATTGTGCCAGCTATTATTCATCCGGGTGGTGGTTTAGTCATTGTCACGTCTGCAATCTTAACGGGATCTACCGGAACTCGGACTACATTACCGCCGGATATGGCATGACGTGGAACTCCGCAAGATTGCTGAAGGGAAGTGAGATGAAGATACGCCCGCTATAACCATGCGTGACTGAGCCGTTTGGATCCGGAAGCCGGGGTGCTGCGAGAGTTGCTGAGAGCAGTGGCGGATCCAGGGGGAGGAGCCGGGGGCCCGACTCCCCCCCCCCCCCCCGCCCACTGAGCGAAATATTAGCCGGCACGATTTTCATATTTCAGCACACTAAATTTCAAATTGATTTCAAATTTGGGCCCCCACCCCTACGAAATCCTGGATCCGCGCCTGGCTGAGAGCACGGTCGCAAAGTCTTATGAAAGCCCAGCTTAACAATAATTCCAATACACTATCACGACTACAGAATATCCACCATTACATATAAACTGGTTATAAACTGGTCATAAACTGGTCATAAACTTTATTGATATGGATTGATTTTCACTCAAAGTATTGATAATGCGAAATATTTCTGTTTAAAACATTAAATTGACATTTATGTTGTTGTTGTTGTTGTTGACAATCTATTAAACCGAATCCCGATAATAATGGAGAGACCCCCAGACAGTAGCATTGGTGGCATATACCAATGTATAGATCAGACTTCACTTTGTTTTTTTTTTACTTTAATTATACATTTGGTCCTTTTACAAGGCTGCTGCAGAAGAAAAATAAAACAGTTTAAACTATCACAGAAAAACATGATCAAAGTAGATTAAGAAACAGTGTAAACTGTTAATTATCATAGCTTTCTTTTCTTTCTTTTTTATAGCTTTTTTGCTCTCAGTGGAAATACTGAATTTATGAACCACACAGAGAAGCAACAATAACTTTGTCAATGTTTCTACGGTAAAATTCCTAGCCGGTTGTCGGTATTCGCGAACGATAGAGATAAATTAGCGACTGATCATATATCATTTCGTCGATCAGCGGCCGACCCTTTCACACCCATATTTGGCCTGATAATAGTCTGCAAGCATGAGGATCAGTAACTCTGCCTTGTCTGTTTTCACCTCTTTCAACTAAGAGTACCAGAAAGAACAGAGGACCGAAAATCGCAAAACCGTAAAACTCGACTAGTTGACCACCGAAGCCGTGCCCGAAGAAATGTGATAACTGGTGACTGTGAGTGTTTTCCTTATTATTTGTTGGGTGCCGAACAAAATAATAGTTTCGCATATTGTTTTGGTTATGATTTAGATTTCAACAGCTGGATCTACATGGTTTGCTTTCGCGAATATGTCGTTCAATCCCTTTATATATTCCTTTCAATATCGAAGATTTCAGAAAGGTTTAAGGAAGGTATTTTGTCGATGGACATCAAGTCCAGGAGAAAACAACTGGGGTTTCAAAAACAGTTTCTGCAATTGTTTGACATTGATACGTTCTCAGGCACATCAACGAAATTGAGACCAAACCGAGAAACTGACCAATCAAACAAGTGTATTAACACCAATTACAAAAAGTCTGTCGCTTTGTGTTGGTGTGGACTGTGGGTTTGGGGTTACTAATTTATAATAATAATATAATAATACAATATTTATAAAGCGCATAATAAACATCAGTTTCTCTGTGCGCTGTACAAGCATGAATGACGAGAAATGTAATGATGAATAATAATAAATTGATTTGCTGTAAATACCCGAACAAATGTAAAATATGAACATGATTGAATTGTAATTAGACATATTTACATTTGATTTATTCAAGTTTTCAGGTTTTGAGGAATCAAAGGAGTACTGCGCTTATCTCCATGAATGTAACCTTGTGTATACTAGCGTCAATTCAAGATTGCATTAAAAAGGCCTAATATGCCAAACCAGCCGGAAAATTATATTTTTATAGCTATGAAATCTTGCGTAATTTCCCCTTCATATTCGCCATTAAGTGTTATCCTTAAACCTAGAAACGTAAAGTATGAACATGATTTTATTGTAATTAGACATATTTACATTATTTTTTCATTCGTAGAGGTTTCGTGGTCGAGCGGATATGTCACCGGACTGTGGATCACAAGGTCCGCAATTCAAGTCCCGCCGCGGCACTACACTCTAAAAAAAAAACTGCTCAATTTGAGTCAAAATGTTACTCTTTGGGTGGTCAAAAGGAAACACCCGACTTTTGAGTAAACTTTACTCAGCATGTGTTGAGTAACAAATCTACCCATCTGTTGAGTAAAAGTATTACTCAATAAAAGACTAAATCTCTACTCAGTTTGAATGAGTCAACCTTTACTCAATATTTACTCTTTGTTTAGCGGTTTCCTTTTTTACTCAGTACTGGGTAGAAACGTAATCAACTCATGTCGAGTAAGAAACTGCTGATGAGTTGAGCCAAATTTACTCAATTAACGAGTACATGTTTTGACTCAAATTGTTTGAGCGATTTTTTTGCTCAAATATTGAGTATGTTTTCTGGGTAACGCTTAGTTGCTCAATCAATATTGAGTAAAAACATGTACTAAGTTAAGTACATGTTTTTTACTCCATTAGGGGTGCAAACCGATGCAATAGCAGCACCTTTAGGGGTTCAATCCTGCACCCTTTAAAAGGTGCAATCCTGCACCCATCATCGAGGAATACTGGTAAAATTTGCTCGTACACAAATACATATTAAACATGCATGATGTTTCTTGGTTAGTAAATATATAATCAATATATCTATTGCTAAAACGTGAATGTAATTGTAACATGATCAGACAAAATAATATATTGGTTAATGATTGCCAAAGGAAAATACAAAATCAAAAAATTGATGTGCATTGTCATAATTTGCTTAACAAATCATGATAAATGTATTTTTATGTGAACACGTGGAAAGTAATCATGAATATGCATGCAATATGCAAACTTTTATTTTGCACCCTCTTTTGGTCGATAGGGTTCATTTTTGTGGGAAGGGTGCAAAATCTTATATTGCACCCTTTTTTAACCCCTTTTCCTTCAATAGTTCATTTTTATGTAAAGGGTGCAAACTCTTATTTTGTACCCTTTTTTGCACCCTTTTTTCTAAGAGTGTATCTCAGTTCTTTCGCATCTTTCTGCACGCGCACATGCATGCACGAGACATGCACATGACGGACAATGAAAAGAGTACAAAATATACAGTTCCTTAGGTAGACAAAGGAACATACAGCTGCTATTATGTAAAAATGTGTGTTAGAACAGGTGTCACATGCATATTGACAGCTAGTTGCACTTTCCATCGATCCAACTTTCACTCGCACCCGAGGTAAATTCGGGTAAGAGATCAATGTTGATTTATTTATCACCGCCGCAGCGTAATACCCAACCGTAGTTTACTCAAAATTGATACAAACGAAATTCGTACTCAATGTTGAGTCATTGATTTACTCTTTATCGAAGGTAACAAATTACTCGGGTGACGAGTACCCACTAAAATCAAGGTCTCTTACTCCAGCTTGAGTACTGAATTGCTCATTTTGTTACTCAACTTGTTCTACTCGGCACAATTTACTCGCTGACATTAAGAGTGTATGTCCTTTGGCAAGACATTGATCTGAAGTGGAAGCCCATGTCAGAGATATTGAAAAAAGAGCGAATGCAAAACTATATATGCTCCGTTCTTTAGGGAAGTTCAGCCTTTCACATGAAGATCGAATTACTACTTTCATTGGCTATATTCGTCCAATCCTTGAATATGTAACTCAAGTTTTGAGCGGAAGCCTCACTGGTGTACAAAAACAACGCAAAGAACGATTTTAAAAACGTGCTTTGAGGATTATCTTTAGAAAGGATTACCCTAGTTATGCTAGCGCTCCCACTCAATCGAAATTACAAACATTGGAAAGTCGTCAAAACGATTAAGTATTACCTTCTTTAAGAAAACTCTATCATGCACAGACCAATTCAAACAATTTATACCCCAAAAGAGCACACAATAGAACTTGGGAAAGGACTAACAAGATCCCTGAACCCAGGTGCAAAATTAAACGTTTGCAGAATAGCCCAATCCCAGATTTGATCCGTTTGTATAAAAAAAAGTTTGTCATGATTGTATCATACTTTGAAACAAATTAAATTGTCAAAAAAAAAATATTACAATTTCATATTCCTTAGTATATATATAATTTTACAAAGTTAGTCAATGTATTATTTTATGATATGAAGTATGCGATGCATATTTATATTTATATAAATTTCTAGAGTTCACCTTCTAATATTCAAATTTGTTTTGCAATGTATCTTTGCACTTTATCAGCATGTACATAGTTGTTTTTCCTCTCTTTCTATCTGTCCCCTTTCATCCCTGTCTCTCTCCCTCTCTCTCTCTCTTTCTCTCTCTCTCCTGTTTTCCCATTTCTCTGAATCTTGTTATCTCTCTTTCTTTTTAACTCAAATTTTTAAATTGAAATATTGTATAAGATTAATGGTATATATATATATATATATATGTATATATATATATATATATATATATATATATATATATATATATAGTATACATATACACGCTCTTCATAATTATGTAGATTGTAGTGTGATATCTTTTTTTTCCAGCAATTTACTCATGTAAAATTCAATTACTTGTTATTGTGATATCTCTTGAAATGTATAATTGTCTTTACCATCAATGTTTTATTCATGCACAATTCAGTTACTTGTAACTGCGATACATGGAAATGATTCAATAAACACCATTTATCTATAATCTATCTATCTATTTTATAGCGCCTAACACTTACTTTATCAGAAGTCTCTAAGCGCTCTACAATAATATAGTAATATAGTAATATGTGCTGCGCCTAGAAACAAAGTATTAGTCGCATTATAAATGTGAGCTATTATTATCATCATTAAACGGAATAAATGCATGGATTGTCAGGCGCGGATCGGGGGGGGCCGAGCGGGCCTTGGCCCCCCCCCCCCCGCAAAAAAAAAAAAAAAAAAAAGAGAAGAAAGGAAAGAAGGGAAAGGGGAAAGGAGAAAAAGGGAAAGAAAAAAGAGGAAGAAGAAAAGAAAAGGGGGAAGAAGGAGATCGGGGGGGGGGGG